TTACACAAAGTCTTGTTCCGTGCGGGAATCTAACCCGCGACACGTCGCATGCCACCTAGTTGCCCAGGCAACGCACCAACCGTGCAGACCAAACCTTTACTGTTTTATAAGTTGAAATAATTTCTTTTTGAACTGAGAAAACTAACCAATTAAAATGAAAGTCGAATAATCCCAATACTGACGTAATATGTAGACAAAATGGCTACTGTACTACATCACGTGTGAATTTCAGTCTTTATCGCACCGCGCACGTATGTATTTGAAACGCGATAATATTTGCACTATAAGTTTTGGTTGACTCATCAACCATGACTTTTATAATAATTTTATCTTTTAATTTCACATCGATGAGGATACAAATTCCGATCGGATAGCGATTGGTTTTATGTAAATTACTTCAAAGGAAAAGATTAAAGTATAGGTAATAAAAATTGCATTCAAATACAGGTGTATATCATGTACAGAGACAAGAAAGGAAGATAATTTAGATAAAGTGGATAAAAAAATAAAACTTTATTTATTATTTACTGGTTGCTCTGGCGTGTTTTCAACCGCTCCTCAGCTCCATTTGATCGTTGCGTGATGTTTTATAGCCTATACGAGTAGCACTCAGGAATGTTGTAGCTAACTATCAGTGAAAGAATTTTGGCAATCTGACCAGCGGTTCCAAAGATTATCCATCCGACATACAAACTTACAAACTTACACATTTTACCTCTATCTTATAATATTAGTATAGATGAGCGGGCGGTAACTAAAATTGTAAATCAAGTGGTATCTTCTATAGACTTGGCAAAAAAATAAAATTTGTTTTTATATTTGTTCACTACTAAACAAAGGTGCAATTAAATCTGAACCTTTTAAACGAGAGAAGAACTCTTATGTAGAAGAAGTTTATTAACCAGAATAAGTCCATCGTTGTTGATAATAATGGTGTGAATTCATATCTTTTGTTTTCGCTTGTTGTTACTATCAGGCCGAGCTATCAGGTAAAGAACTCCATCAAATTCGGTTATAACCTCCAAACAAGATTTTAAGTATGGTAATGTTTCATAGAGCCAATAGACCACCACAGACGGGGCCCAATAGGGCTGATGTTCAGCCGGGGTTGCGGGGTAAGCGCAATGAGGCACCGCGGCCTCGGCCCAGAAAAGGAGAAGGAGGGGGGGGGGTTTAATCAGTAAGAGTCTGACACGGGCGGGAGAAGTCATTGGATGATTTTCCCCTGACAAAAATAAAGTATGGTGATGTTTTTATGTGTTATGTGTTTTTTTTATATTACTAGCAAGTGAAATTCCGGCTTCACACGGGTGAAATACTGATACTAAATTTCTCCACTATTAATATACGTTGTTGTTATATGTTTAAGTACATATTATATAAACCTTCCTCTTCAATCACTACATCTATTTAAAAAAACGCATCAAAATCCGTTGCGTACTTTTAAAGATTAGGACAGAGACAAAGGGACTGTGTTTTATACTATGCAGTGTAGTAGTAATGAAATATTGATTTGTAAGCTTATGACCAATAATTCAATGAAGTATCCTCTCCAACTCTTGTAACTTACACCGCTTCACCATTCATGTCCGTCGCGCCAATTCCAATTTGCATGCAATCAACCAATGGTAGGATATTGTACCTGAACAATTAGATTATTAAACGCTTTCCCTTATACCGTCGGAATTCTAGAGGCCGGTGTCTAAATAACTGCACCTATGGGTACAAATATTTGTGTATTAGAGATTGAGAGAATTTGTCACCTGTGTTATTGATGGTCGAGAGGCTGCAAGAAAAAATGTCTGGTCTATTTTTGGGACTTCTTTTTGGTGTTCTGAAAAGTTTTTAATGTTGGAAATCGAAGCTTCGGCACAAATGGCCGTTGTCTTAAGTTATACGACAGCATTACAGAATTCGGCGTGACAACTATCCTTGCGCGGCGCGGCGATCACATATAAAGTATCATTGATAAAAATAAGTTTGAAATTGTCTAGAGCGGTGTATGGCAAAGGAATTGGCTAAAAGGATGACCCCATTCTATGTACAGAACTTCATAAAATAACTAGACGTAAGTGGACCACCGACCAATCGTGCACCTCTGAGTTTGGAGATTACAAAGGTTGATCAGTTAAATATATTGCCTCCGTATTTATTTAATTCATATCAATATACCGACGCCTTGCGTTTCGCACGCATCTTGGTAGCCATCACAGATGATGGCCCTTAGGACCGATGCATGTCCAGCCTGGGTTGCAAGTACAAACGCAAGAATTTATTACCTTGGCAACAGCCCGATATAATTATGTTTTTTTTTATGTGGCAGATTGGTAAACGAGCAGACGGATTACCTGATGGTAAGCAATCCGCGCCGCTCATGGACACCCGTAACAAAAGAGGAGTTACGAGTGCGTTGCCGACCAACAGAGGAAAGATTGTGCCTCCGGTATATGTGAAGGAAACGCGTAGTTTTTAGTCAGTAAGACTCTGATAAGTCTCTCTCTCCAGGCCAGAGAAGCCATTGGATGATTAACTTTCTTTAAAAATGACCATTTTATTTCTAGCAGAAAAATTATTAATCAATGCAAAGCTTATCGAAACTGCCCATTAGCTCTGAACTCTGGTCATCGATGTAGAGAAGCAACATCGTTAAATTTTAAGAGCAATTTGTGTCGAACTGTAGTTGCGTCAGCTTTGAGTTCAGCAGAATGGTTAAGTAACCTAAACCGGTACCATTCGAGGATGTGGTTTGCTTTAGTTGTTCTATCTTTGTGAAGTTGTGGTTAACTGAGTCTTGGAACTGAGGCTATGGGCTTAGGTTTTGTAGTAGAATGCAGTTTTTATTAAAAGGGTTCTTTTTTTATTCAAAGATTAAACAAAATGTATGCTCTTAATTAAATTTCACATTGTTCGTAGTGGCCCGGGGGTTAAGGTGCCTGCTTCTCATGCATGAGGGTGCAGGTTTGAAACCTGGCAAGTACCAATGTGACTTATCCGAACTAAATGTACTTTCTATGACTATCTAGTCACCACTGACATACGATGACGGAAAACATCATGAGGAAACCTGGACTTATAATTTCTAATTATAAGTTTGAAATTGCCAATCTGCCTTGAACAAGCGTGGTGATTAATGCTCTAAACTATCTCCGTGTGAGAAGAGGCCTTTGCTCAGCAGTGGACACTTATAGGCTAATGATGATGATGATGAAATTTCACATTAAAGAATGGTTAAGAAAGTTCTTGGTCCTAGATTAGGGTTAGCATATTTTCTCTCTTTTTTCATTTGGGTTTGTGGGGCACAATAATAATGCACCGTGTCCCCAGCCTGGAGCAGGAGAAGGAACGAGCTGGATTTTAGTCAAAAATAGACACTACGTCTCACCAAATCCAGGGCGAGATTAGGTGATTATCCCCTGTAAGATTATTTTTAACTAGTAGCATATTATATTCTCAAAGAGAATTTGATATTAAAATGGACTATAAATGATATATACACTATAATATGACTACGATTAAAGAGTGAAATAAAAAAATAAAAAAGAGTAAGAGCTATAAAGTCAAAGTCAAAATCATTGATTCCAACTAAAGCATAAATAGATACTTTTGAAACGTCAAAATAGAAAAGTAGTCTGTTCGTCAGTAAAGCTAGATGCCCATTCCAAATTGAAGATTCGAATGGAGAAGAACGAGTAAGAAACTTCATCGATACTCTTTTAAAAAGAAATGTTTTGCAATTTCAATAATATAACATTAATTAGTATACATTATTGTATCCTTATGTGAGAACAATGCAGAGACCAGTTGTAAAATAAAAGAACAAATGATGGGACCTATCATAAAATTTTAATCCTTTGTCGTCTCGTATAAAAGGAGTATAGCGCCATCCCTCTTTCTCGCCCGTAAGATTGATGCTTTAACACGCCATGGTGTGTGCCCACTGATGACTTCTAAGAGAAATAACAACGAGTAATACCAAAGAACGCATAGGTAGGTACAGAAATGCGTGAAATCCAAACTTCCCACATTTAATTCAAGAAAGTTTGTGTAACAAAGTTGTTATTTTCTTATTTCTATGCAAATGCGTATTTCTAAAGTCAGATCGGTCACTTGAAAATTACTTTTTTCGGAAAACTTTTCTGGGCAAAAGTTTTTCTTTCGACATAAACGGATTTGACAATGATTTCGAAAAGAGTTTTGTATTCAAGTATACCTATTATAAGTTTGATTAATCTTGATAAAATCTTTAACTTTCTGGAGGCCTAAAATCCTTTCCCTCCCCCAATCCCTAAATCTCCAAATCCCTTATCCCAAAAGGTCCACAACGCACTTGCGAGTGTCCATGGGCGGCGTTGCTTACCATCAGGTAAATAGTCTGCTCGTTTGCCGATATATCACATAAAAATAAAACTTATTTTTTTTATTTTGATGTGCATAATCGAATATATATTTTCAAATGTAGACGACCATATTTTTGGGGAAAAATCCTACTAGGTATACGAAAATCTTAATAAAATAGCGGCTCGTACTTTTTTAAAAATAAAACGTTGCCCCAACTAAATATTTATCCTGTGTCGTTGGTGCGTTTACAAACATACAATTTCACACACACACACACAAGTCACCTAGAACTGAAAAAATAATTTGTAAATCACACAAAGAGTTGTTCCGTGCGGGAATCGAACCCGTACTGCGTGGTAGTCAACCGTGCAGTCCTTCGATGGCAGGAAACTCTTAGTTAAAAAATAATAAACAATGTCATACAAAAACGTTTTTATTTTACAAAAACACTCATAATTATTATTTACACGATTTAAATTAATTATAAAACAAGTAATAAAAAAATACATAAAATATATTTTTCAATTTACATACAAAATTAACGCTGTGGTGGCTTAAAGGTTAAGGCGCCCGCTTCTCATGCATAAGGGTGCGCGTTCAAAACCTGGCACGTACTAATGTGACTTTTTCCGAGTACAGAACATTTAGTTCATTCTTTGATTATTTAGACACCACCAACATACGATGAAGGAAAACACCGTGAGGAAACCTGGACTTAAAATTAGAAATTATAAAAGTAAGTTTGAAATCGCCAATCCGACTTGAGCAAGCGTGGTGATTAATGCTCAAACCTTCTCCGTGTGAGAAGAGGCCTTTGATCAGCAGTGGACACTTATAGGCATATAACGCATTATTTTATATTGGAAGGATATTTCTTTCAAGGAATCGAATTAAGGAAACATTCTTTTTTTAAATAATTCAATTTTCATAATAACACAAGCGTAGTGTTGTCACATAGACATCATTATATAATACTATGTCTTCTTCTTAACAATTTCTTTCAAATAAAAGAGTATTTATTATTTATTAGGTTAGTACAAGAATATGGTTCCATCGGAATGGTTCTGGACGTCAATGATTGGCGGTGGTGGATCCCTCTCCAAGAGATACGCTCTTGTCTGAAGGAGAGCTACGTTGGCAATGTGGCAGAGACAGGCACCAAGTAATAACCTGAAATTAAAATTATTTATTTTTATTTAAATGAAAGGATTCTAATTTTCGTTGGCTCGAAAATCAACTTAAAATATTTTTTTTTTATTTAGAACTGAAACAATCTAGTCCTATTTGGAAAGTCCTCATCCTCATCCGTAAACACCTAACAATCCACAAGAGGCCAGCAACGCACTCGTACCTCATTTGGTATTGCGAGTGTCGCCGATTGCTTACTATCAGGTAATCCAAACTATCCAAACTAATATTATAAATGCGAAAGTAACTCTGTCTGTCTTTTCTTCACGCCTAAACTACTAAACTGATTTCAGTGCAATTTGGTACAGATATAATTTGGAACTCGAGAAAAGACATAGGATAGTTTTATACCAAAAATCTGCAGGAAGTCACTATTCCACGCGAACGGAGTCGCGGACTAAAGCTAGTTGAAATATATAAAAGGCTCATTGAAATATTATCTTTTTGACTGAACAGAGACCAGGTGTGTGTATGACCATGATACTGTGCATAGTAGTTGGAGGTTAACGGAAAACGAGCAGATGGATTACTAGAATCTAGTAATCCGTCTATGTATAGTAGTATTCGTTAATCTAGTAACTAGATGGTAGGAACCAGCGCCGCCCAAGGCACAGATTACTGACCCAAGGCCACACGTTATGAGTGCGTTGCCGACCTTTTAGTGATTGGTATTGGAGATTTATCTGTTTTCTGTAAGGCCGTGCTATCACTTTCCCACACTAGGTACACATAACCTCTACTATATGTACCTAATCACATACACGACTCAAGAAAGTCAATGGAATTAACAAAAATCCTTACCAATAAGAATATCCAAGACCTGGTCCTGGTGTGTATAGTCCCAAAGCGATGAATGAAAAAGCAAGATGCTCATTCAGTCCTGAAGTAAGCCAGTATATGCCGAACATTAACATCACTGTTATTCCAACCAAGGCTGCCGCTACGTTGGTCCAAAAGCATCCTAGAAGAGAAGCAAGGAGAACATGCGTAAGGACGAAATGCAAAGGATAGACCTATATAGAAAGAAAGAAAGAGAAATGCATTTATTCGACATGACACATGAAAGCCAAAAAAACAATAAAGAGGTGAAAAAGACAGAAAAACAAAAATACGCAAAATAATAATACATGGTAAAAGAGGCTGATAATTATAGAAAAACATGCTACTCAGGTTGGCAGACATGTCCAATCCGAATATGAAAGAATACGAAATATTAAACAAGGAACAAGGTGAAGCGTTCCACTGATATAAAGGTCAAAGTTAAAGACAAATTATTGATTGCACTTATTTTAAATGATGCTCCAAACTACGGTTTTCTCCTGTGTCGTGGTTACGTTTCTAAACATACAATTTCACATACACATCACAAACAAACCCGGAACAACAATTTGTGGATCACAGAAAGAGTTGTACACAATTTTCGTTGTATAATTAATTTCATTCGAGAACTGGGAGAGCATATCTAAATTAATGGTGATAGAATCTGGCGCGATCCCTTGAAATGTAGGTGATAATGACAAGACGACTATTGTCAAACACAGGTTTAAGTCAATATTATTTTTGCCGGAAAGTTGTATAACAGCTTCCCCGTCCCAAGAGGATAAAAAGGCGGTTGGAGATAACTTCATTTTCCATGCTTTTGAAGTTTTGTCCGTCGACCTTAAAAATATAGACAGATTGATTGATCAGTTGAAACTTCATAACTTACCAGGTAACCCGAATATCGGTTCAGTGGGATTTTTAGTAGCGTTCAAGATTGCCAAGCCAGCCTCTGCTACGCCCAACACCAGCTCAATGGCAAGCCCAATTATCAGGCAGACATAGAACGCGAAGGAGATCACCGGTGGAGTATCCACTGTGAACATAAATGTACATGATCAAATAGTCAATCTTTACGCCTTTGACTGCCACCACAACTATTGAAGGCAAATCCTCCGCTACCGGTAGTCACTGATGACCACCGTAGCGGCTTACGTGTTAATGATACTCAATACTAAATATGGTGAAGGTCATAAGAAAATCTGGTGCAATGCAAAATGCTTTTCTATCAGGTTATCCAGTAGGCTAAGTCTACTTCCACACTGTTTTTGTTTGCCACCTTAAGCGTCTGCGAATGGTGCATAAGAATAGTTTGTCACCTGAAATGGGGCCCACTCGATGTTCAATTTGGTAGGAGAAAGAATAGGGTGGCTTTTAGTCACCATGACCCTGCCACTTCCCATCGAGGGCGAGAGAAGTCATTGAATGATCCCCCTCAATGAAAACGCTTTGTTGTTTTCACGTCACCAACACAAACAGTTCCTAATGGCCTACGGCTAGATTATTAGCCGTTCATCAGAAAAGTTTATCGTTCAGGCCTGGATTGACATCGCTGTTTATTGTTCAGGTTTTACAGAGAGAAGTTTCAAGATTCAGGTCAGTAAATTCTACCTCCTGACGTATATTTGTCAAATGTGTAGTTCTTAAACAGGCTTCGACAAAACACGGGCGACGACAGTAATCGCCGTGAAAACATTTTGCCTTTACAATAGACAGCAACAGTAATTGAGAAGACGATGGAGGAGGATATTTTACCAAGGGAATGAAATAACAAAATCCTTACTAAAGATCTTTAAGTAATACTTACATGGGTTGGCGGTGTCAACTTCGGTGGTTCCGATACAGGTAGCTGAAGGTCGGTAGCCATTGGCCAAAGCTCGTACCTGAAACCACGTTACTTTGTATTAGAAATACGATCAAACGTTTTCGGAATGTTATAATGTACTCTATAAAATTAATAAATTAACTCATTTTAAAAATAATCTAATTTTAACGACTGCACGGTTGTTGCGGTGGCTGGAAAACTGGCTGCGGCGCAGTGTCGCGAGTTCCATTCCCGCACGGAACAGCTCTTTGTGTGATCCACAAATTGTTGTTCCGGGTCTGGGTGTGATGTGTATGTGAAATTTTATGTTTGGCACACGACACGGGAGAAAATCATAGAGTGGGGAAACGTTTAAAAAAGGAAATGGTTATATGCCTAGGTGTGGATGTGGGATAACTATGCTTCGGCACGCATGGATCGGCTCGACCAGAGTGACACCAGAGCCTTATATAAAACTAATATATAACAACCTCTAGCGTCTCTGAGCGACGCCGATTGCTCACAATCAGGTAACCCATGTTAGGTTTATCGTCCTAACACATAAAAATAATGTTTTTACATCGGCGATTGAAGTCGTAGTATTAAGATTTAATACTGTAAATCAATGATATTACAAGTGTTATAGATAGGTTACAAGCGCTCAGCAAGTGATACATTAAAATGTGGCTAACTAGCCACACTTTTTCATATTTGTCTCTTTTTCACTCGCGATTATTGAATCATGCCATCCCACTTTAACGTCTTATCATACGAATTATTCATGTGTGCATGGGTGTGCCGTTTTTGAAAATCGAATGTTTTTTATGTCACCTATCTACACCATTTTACTTATAATATCATTGATTACAACTATTTTCAGTTAATTCGTGTGAGAATTAAAATTATTTTGTTGTCATTAAGTAGTCACCTCCTGTAATCTGGATTCACGATCCGTCTTGCAGCTCACAGCACATGCATTCATATCAGCTACACATGTCACTGTAATACAAAACATACAACAATTAAATAAAAATCAATGAAAGAAACTTAAAGACGATGTGTGATGTTCTTGGTAATTTCGACTGTTGCCTGATGGTAAGCAATCGGCGCCGCCCATGGATACCCGCAGCACCAAAAGAGTTACGAGTGCGTTGCCGGCCTTTTAGTGATAAGGGTTTTGTATATTTAAGGATTGGGATAGGGGTAGGGGTAGGGATTGGGCCTCCAATAACCTCTCTCAAAACACAACGCTGTGTTTGTTTCACGCCGGTTTTCTGTGAGTCCGTGGTATTACGCCGGTCAAGCCGACCCATTCGAGCCGAAGCTTGGCTCTCCCGCACCTAATTCCCACGAGATCGGGAACAATGAGGGTAAAACCAAAAATCTACCAGAAATCACTAGGTATTCTACGCGGACGAAGTCGCGGCCAAAAGTTACCAAATAAATATTCAGTACCTGGCATTTAAATCACCTCAAATCTACAGATGAAATTAGTTTACTAATGTGTAACTATTAAATGTAATAAACAAAATCTTTTCCACATTTTCATTTTATTAAATAAACGATTTTTATTTATAGTATCAAATTATTTTCCCTAATTATTTACATAAAAAAAACTAGCAAATTTCGAGCTGAACTCGAAAGAAACTAAGGTGTCCTACCAAAACCACGTATCTTTATCTTTACCTTTATCCTTTGCACACACACAACAGCATATCCCAAAGGTTTTCTAACATCGTCTATCAAGCTTCGGCACGAATGGGTCGGCTCGACTGGAGTGATCCCACGGCCACACAGAAAACCGGCGTGAATAAACCACAGCGTTGTGTTTCGTCGTGTGAGTGAGGTTACCGGAGTCCCAATCTTTCCCCTCCCCCAATCCCTCCCCATTCCTTAAATCTCAAAATCCTTAATCCCCAAAAAATCGACAACAAACTCGTCCTCCGTTGCGGGTGTCCATGGGCGGCGCTGATTGCTTACCATCAGGTAAACCGTCTGCTCGTTTGCCGACCTATTACATAAAAAATGAGACAGACAAACAGCGGAGTTTTTTTATTAGGAATATCGTTTTTACCTTTGGGTATGAAACCCTAATACTAGATTATTTTTATATGAAAAATGATATTTTAATTTTAATATTATTTTAACTTTTATTTAATTAATTTTATTGGTAGGATTACCTCAGCGATTATTTCGCGCTTTTACCTAATTTTGTTCCACTTTACTTCAATAAATATACGAAAATGGTGTTATAAAGTTTTAAATTGGCAAGACAGGCGAAGATGAATTTATCTAATATTGCTAACAAAAAGTGTATTGTTATAGTTTAAATTGTTCTATACCGTTGGGCCATTAAAATATGTGAAGAAATTTTATTATTTCTGAACGGCATTCGTTCATTTCTGAACGCGAGTCTGCGCGACTAGGGAAATAGAGCTAAGTACAAATAAATTGGAGTTTAAAATATATTTTTATTAGTGAAAAAATATTGAATAATGTAAGTATGTATGGGGAATGTATGTTTAGGACGACAAACGAGCAGACGGATTTACGGATTTACTGATGGTAAGCAATCAACGATTGGGGAGGGTTTGGAGGAAGTGAAGGATTCGGCATCCGATAACCTCAATTACACGATGAAACACAACGCTGGTTAGTGAGGTCGTCGTATGACTCCGGTCGAGCCGACCCATTCGTCGACGACTCTCTCACATTCTGTAAGCACTGGTAAGACAAATAAAATTGTTGATTGGATTGTGGGTAAATTTTTAAAATAAGAAGTTTACTCTACGTTAATTTGGGCTCTAGCTTTTCATTGTTGCAGACTCAGCGAGGTTCCAAATCGATAGATTTGGAACATTTGGGCATTCACGCCTGATCATCAATAAATATCATTTACTTATCACTCATCATTATATTTTTAGAGTGAATCTTGAAGTAAACGGTTAGATTCAAGTTTAAAAAGATAATATAAATAAACACATAGTTTTACCATTAAGGAAAACACAATAAATTACAAAATTAAATGGGAGTATTTTATATTAAATTTTCCAGCGTGACGAAGCTTTAATTTCATGCTTAACAGCTGCACTGGCAAGAAGCCAAACGTTGAATTACAGCAAGACGTTTTCTGCATAACCTTATAACAGGGGTTGTAAGGAGGTGGTAATTAAAGAGACTAAAAAAGGCATAAGAACTTCTTCATGGCCGTTGCAAAAACAGCCTTTATGTAGAAGTCATCACATCGCATTAATTTCCGGCTCTGCAGAATACGAGCAAGGGTAACTCACGGTAGTCCGACCAGAACCAGACCTGACCTATAGCGCGTTCAAAGAGTCAATAGACCACCAGAGATGGAGCCTATGGTAATATCCAACCGGGGTTGGCGCAACCATATACGGCGGCCGGTCATAGTGTCAGTCTGTCGGTCAGTCCTCTTAGTGAAGCTATTTGCCCCAGCAGTAAATGGCCCCAGGACACTACCTTGGGGAACACCATACTTTACAACCTGTTTCGTTGAGCTGTATATTTCTTCTTATTCGAGAACATTAGATTACTTCTACCCCTCAAAAAATAATTATAAAACGTAGAGCAAAATAGCGACTAGCGAGTCACATTCCCCAAAACCGCAGATTTCGTGGCCCCAAAAAAAGCCGACACTCCTCCTAACAAAAGTTATTAGTTTTGCGAGATTAAATTTGAAAATGTATTGTTAGGAACAGCGTGAATTTTGATCAAAATGATTTATTAATAGCACTCTGAACTTGACCTCTTGGAGTTTGTATAGGTATTTTATTTTGTGAACCCTTTCACGGGACGTTTTACATTAGAACGAGTGGTGCGCGGGCTGAGGTGATTTTTGTTGTCTGATTTTAATATATCTAGTGTTATACGTATACATGCAAAAGCAATAAAAAGTGTAACTTCACTGACGAACAGACAAACAGACTATTATTCTATTTTGACGTTTCAAAAGTACCTGTTTATGGTTAACTTGGGCAAATGATTTTGATTTTGAAAAGTTATTAATTAGCAGAATTGCTACTTTGTTTGGAATTTGATAAGGCCATCGCAATTGATAAGACGGCCTTACGGAAAACAGGCTTGGAACAACGGTTCGCCGTGTAAGTGGGGCTACCGGAGCCCTAATTCTAAATCCCCAAAATGTTCTTAAAGATACACAAGTATACAAGTATTTAGATACACATAAGTATCTAAAAGAACATGTTGGTGAACTCCTTTGGTGTTACATGTGTCTATGAACAGAGCTGATTACTTACCCTTAGGTAACCTTCTGCTCGTTTCCCTAATAGTGTCTAATGAAAACATAATTGCCAACTAACAGGTAACCTGATGGTAAGCAATTGGTACCAAACAAGAGAACCGAGGAGTTTAGGTTTCGACGACCTTATTTTGGCATTTTGGGCAATCCTTAGATTGCGGAAGGTTGTTCGGCGAAACAAATGCTATGGTGGTTTAACGACAGTTTTCAGTGAGGCCATTGTATTATGTAGTAGGTACTCCGATCAATACAGAATTCCCTATGGAAGTTCTCAATAACAAAAATTTAATTTCGATAACAATTGTAACCCCATAAAACGATTCAGCATTACCTTTTACATTAATTACCTAGTAGGTATATTTTAATACCGATACGAAAATTGTAACCTAGGAAAATGCCGTAAACATTATTTTGGTGGTAAATTTAATTTAATATTACACCGACAACAATGCATTGACCTGACCCAATTAAAATATTAAACATTCCTTATTAATATAATAAATCAACGTAGAATGTTGGGATACAAACTGTTTTAATAAAACGCCTTAAAAATTTCAGCTTTGTAACCGAGGCCTACATTTTCATTACGGAGATAATTTCTTGACTTTTTTGTTCCAAATTTACATAATAATAACATGTGTTTGTTTAACCTAGGTCAACTGTGACGGAAAAGTAGAATACAGTTATAATACATTCCGTGGGTGGTGTTACTTTATTCTCTTTATAGAAAGGATTTTCTCCCCCCACTAGGATTTTCTCCTGTGTCGTTGTTTTTGCAAACATACAATTTCACATACACATCAGACCCAGACCCGGAACAATATCCAAGAAGTGTGGATATCAAACGCGCGTTGCGCGGCAGCCAGTTCCCCAACCACCGGGCCAACCGTGCAGCCAAACCTGGTAATATGACCAAGTTATAAGGCAGCGGAACCACATTTGTAAAGAGGCAGTCTTGCCCAGCCTAGCCCATTACAGTCCAGTTAGGGTTATAAGGTACAAGGAAAAGGAACAAGGTAGGTTTTAGTCAGTAAGAGTCTGTCACTCCCTTTCGCACCATCTAGGGTAGGAGAATTCATTGGATAATTTTCTCCCCTTAAAAAAGCCTGTGTTAACCCATCGCTAGGTCTTAAGCCTCTCCTCTATTGGACACACGATTTGGAGACTTCAGGTTAAAAGGTTCGGATAAATTAGATAGCTTTTTCTATTTTGCCTTCGTCAAATTTGTAATTCCTTAAATCCAGTTGGTACGATATCTTCATACAGAGTGCCAAAGAAAGGTGGTGAAAATGTATGCTTTACTCCAAATTATGCTCTAATTACTGATCTCTTTGATCAGAGATCAGAGGCCAGAGTTTTGAGTTGTAAATCGAATGCTATTTATCTACCTACCTTTCTGAATAATAAAGATTAATTTATTTATTCTTGATCTACCGACGTGATACCATGACCTCAGTGAAAACCAGAATGAAACACTGCTTACGTTTCGCCGTTTACGCGAGTGGGAAACCAAAGGTCCATTCTACTATTCTCAAATCCTCAAAAGACCAGCAACGCACTCATACCTCCTCTGATGTTTCTGGCGTTTTAGGCAGTACCGATTTGCTTATCATCAGTAGATCTAACTGCTGGACATTTACTGACATATCATATAAAAAACTTACTATACAATGTATTCACGTTGGGTGTGACGAATTCTCGCAAAGTGAGCTCTCCTCTGAACAAGCCATATCTTATGCTGCTTGCCGCCTGCTGGCCTGTCACTGTCGCTGTTGATACCACCTGGAACATAGCGCAATGATATTGTTTTTTAACATAATTAAGCATAAAATAATTTAAGTCTCAGTAATAAAGTCGTGGTGGCCTGAATGTTAATGTTAAGGGTTGGATTCCACGCGCGCCTCAAAGAGCCAATGGACCACCACAGACGGAGCCCTATAGGCTGATGTTCAGCCGGGGTTGTGGGTTAAGCGCAATGAGTCACCGCGGCCTCAATCCAGAGCAGGAGAAGGAACTGGAGATTTTAGTCAGTAAGAGTCTGACACTCTCTCTCGCCTAAACCTGGGCGGGAGAAGTCATTTGATGACTTTCCCCTGACAAAAAAAAAGGTTTGGATAACAATCGTCAATCGTCAAATGATTGCTCTCGCTCTGGGTAAAACGAGGAGGTCTCGTGAGGAGTTTCAGACTTTCACTGACTAAAAACCATCACGCTCCATCTTCTATCCCCTCATTGTGCTTTGCCCTCAACCCCGGCCGGGTACTAAGCAATGAGCAATGGATTAATAGACTAGGTCATTTTCTACTGTCACGTCCAACTCTCCTATGTACACTTTTATGAAATTGGAAAAAAGTGATCAGCGCCATCCATGGATAGCTGCAATACTATAGGAGTCACAGCCGTCTTGGTGGCCTCTTAAGAAGGAGTACGCTGTGTATTGAACAGTTCCACATTTAGGTACTTATTCAGTTTTAAAGGTGGGAAAATCATTGAATTTCGTCAACCACCTGGATTAGGTGAGGGTGTCAGACTTTCTGAAAAATACCACCCGGTTCCTTCTCCTGCTTTAAGCCGGGCTGTATGTCACATAATAATGTTGATGAAATAATATAAGACTCTATCTAAATCTTTATTTATTTGTTGAGACTTTTCTGCACACGAAACAAAAACTTTGTATATAAGGATGACTTAAAGCCTGGCATCGTTAACGAAGCTACATTTTCACATACAAATTACACCAAGACCCGGAACAACAATTTGTGGATCACACATCGAGTTGTTTCGTGCGTGAATCCAATCCGGCACCAACTTGGCAGTCTTTCTGCCAAGCATACAAACTTCAATCTATTCAAATCAATACGCATTTTGTTTTTTTGATAATTAGTTACGTCATTGACGCAATTAACAGGATTTCAATATATTGAATCATCAATTAGGCTCATGTTATTTATCTGTAGTAAACATCGACGTGCTGACTGTCGTGTATATTTCAATATATTATCACTTTCTTATTTATGATTTTACAGCTGATATGTAGCTATTTAATCAATGCATGTACAGATCATCAGCCTATAAGTACCTACTGCTGAGCAAAGGCTTCATACGCCGTCATACGGGGAGAAAGTTTGAGCATTACCTAAACACCACGCTTGCTCAAGCAGGATCGGTGATTTCAAACTTGTAATTGAGAATTATTTTAATCATTTATAAAAACTGTAAATTCAGGTTTTCTCACGATGTTTTCGTTCGCCGTATGTCAGTGGTGTCTAAATCATCATAGAATATCTACAATATAACTTAGAAACATTCACATTGTCACTTGCCAGATTTCGCACCCTCTTGCAAAGTAAGTTCAGGTTTCTTCACGACAATTTTCTTCATCGTTTGTCAGTGAAGTCCAAATAGTCTTATTAATACCTTACTCGGAAAAATCCACATTGGTTTCGAAATCCTCACCGTCATTTACGAGAAGCGGGTGCCTTAACCTCCGGACCACCACGACTTTTTAATTCACAATGCACAATTCCTAATTACATAAATTGGTACTTCACGGAGCTTGGTTACTTAACTATAAATACATACGTATTTACATTAGAGAGCTACTATAGTTAGTTAGATATTTTTCGCATCTTCCCCTCCCCACATCCCTCCCCGATCCATATCCAAAACCCTAATCCCCAAAATGCCGGCAACGCACTCGTAACTCCGTTGCGAGTGTCCATGGGCGGTGCTGATTGCTGACAATCAGGTAATCCGTCTATTTATTTCCCAAATTAATGTTTAAAAATCATAATGCACAGAAACAATGAAACTTCGTGTCCCAGAGAACATGAACTTACTAGATATCTTGGGTCATAAACAAATTATTCAATATGTATGCAATTAAATCTATAAATAGATTAATCCGACACAAATTCTTGGTATTCTTGTTACTTACCTACCCAATATTTTTACTGTAGAGAAGTTGCTAGATAAAAAGAAAACTTAGAAAATACAAAACTAAAAACGCTTACCCAACTATCACTAGCCAATGCTACAACTACCAATAAAACACTTGAAACGCCAGAAACGAATGCACCAAAAATATAACCACGGCGGGTAACGGCCATCCTGAACCAAATACACGAAACTAAAGGATTATATTCCGGTATTTCTATCGGCAATTATCAGTGATAATGTGCAGCTAATCTAAAGATAATGACTGAATATTTTATCGTGAGTCAGCTCTGTATTTTTGAGTTTGATAGTAGCTTCGGTATTCTGTTTTTTTAATCGTTGAAGACGTAGATATATTGATCTAGATAATGTTGTGATGGGCCGGAGGTTAAGGCACCCATGTCTCGTGTATGAGAGTGCGAGTTAATAATCTAGGAAGTACCAATGTGTCTTTGTCCGAATTATATGTAGTTACTTTCTAAGACTTTTTAGACACCACTGATAAACGGCGAAGGAAAACATCGTGAGAAAACCTTGACTTATATTTTCATGCCCCCTTTTTTTGTCAGGGGAAAATCATCAAATGACCTCTCCCGCCCAGGGAAGGCGAGAGAGAGTGTCAGACTCTTACTTACTGACTAAAAGCCCTTCTCCTGCTCTGGGCCGAGGTCGCGGTGTCTCATTGCGCTTACCCCGCAACCCCGGCCGAACATCAGCCCTATAGGGCCCCGTCTGTGGTGGTATATTGGCTCTATGCAGCGCGCGCGGAACGCTACGTGCCGTCCGCTCGGGAACCTAGGAAATACCTACCAATATGATTTTGTCTGAATTGAATGTAGTTACTTTCTAAGACTTTTTCGACACCACTGACATAGGATAAAGGAAAATATCGTGAGGAAACCTTGACTTACTCAAGATCTCTCAAGACCTTGATTTGCTCAATGGCGATTTTAAACTTATGCGATTGGTAATTTATTATTATTGTGCTCTGCAGTGGGCACTTGTAGGCTGATGATGATGATGATGATGATGATGATGATGATAATGATGATGATGATGATGATGATGACCTTGATCTTGGTATGTTCTGAAAGCTGCTGCACATCTGGACATCATTTGGTGAAAACGTCTTTTTTACACAGCTAAGTGTAAATAAGGCGTTTGAGCTATGCGCCATGCTTCAGCTGGAATGGGCTAGCTCGATCAGAGTAAAAAATATCATTTATAATCGCGATAATCAATCTCGCAACGGATTGCTTCGCCAGCCACCGTGTCGACTGCGCCGTAGCTCTCCTGTTAATAAATGGAAAAAGTTGTTTTTCACTAACAATTAAGGAAAATAAATATATGTAGGCATTCAATTAAACATAATACTCAATCTAATCATGCAATGGAGATCTAATATCAATAGATAAGCAACATTGATTTCTATTTTACAAAGACTTTATATCTACGAACAAATAGTGTTTACATAGGAGATAACTAGAAGATTTCATTGATAGTAACTTCACTTTTTTTTTGGTGTCGGGTTCGAAAATCCTCATGGAGACCCATCGCCCTCGTGGAAGGGCGAAGGGTACTGTCAGACTCTTACTGACTACAAACCAACCCGGTGTTCCTCCACTTACCCAGGTTTCGGAGGGGCGGGTATCGCCGAAGCATTCGTCGCGACCCCCCGACGGAACTTCACATGCCATTGCTCTTGCCATAGGAAATATTCAAATTTTGATTTTAGTACCTATAAGTTCAGCAAACGAGCTCACGTATTATCGGATGGTAAGCAATCAGCGTCGCCCATGGACAAAGGAGTTACTACAAGTGCGTTGCCGGCCTCGTGTGGGTTATAATGTCTATTTTCCACCTTTAAAAGATTTTTTAAAATTTCCTCTACGTATAAACCTTCTCTGGACTTCCAAATCGGTAAAGATATTGTTGGGTCATAACATTACAACGAAAAGCGGCATTGATTTTTATGTTTCTTCATTTAAGACTTATTCAAGGATTGGGCTCCGGTAACCACAGTCACGCGGCGAAATACAACGTTAGTGTTGCTTCACGCCGTTTTTCTGTGAGGCCGTTGTATCACTCCGGTCGAGCCGGCGTATATTGTCGAAGCATGGCTATGGCTTTCCGACAGTAAAGTATGGTGTTAAAATCCATCCTTAAATTTACAAACTTAAGCATTTAATATTATTAGGAACAATGTCCTATATAATATATTTCGATTCGAAGATCGAACACCTTGTTTCAAGCTAATAAATAAGTGGGAAATACAAAAAAAAACAAAGGCACCATTTTTTAAACTATTTATTAACATTGCAGAAGCTTTAAGTTAAAAATATAATAATAATTTCAATTAGGTACATATTTTAATAAAATATACATATTATACAACATTATTTTACAGTTTACAAGTGAAATAATTCAATATAAGACACTAGAGAACAATGACGTCAGAACGTCTCAAACACCTTCCAAAGAAATTAGAACTCTGTATTAACTTGAATAAGGATTAAAATAAAGTGCGCAAGGTTTAAGATTATTTTACTTAAATACAAAATAATGGAAGTGCGACATTTTTTATACTTTATTTATTACCTATATTTGAGGTTTAAATTAAACATGTAATGTTTATAAGGATTGCTCACGTAAATATATTATTCTCAACCCATGATTAAGGGTCCTAATTTAATACGAAAGTAGTCAGGCATTCTCGAAAATAGTATAATAAGTGAGTAAGCTATATAAACATTTTAATATATTTGATGAACAAAAGCCGTGTCATTTCAAATTAAATACAAATGTAATATATAAAACGAATATTAATATAATACTGCATTTGCCCATACTAATGAATGATTTTGGAAGAAAAACATTGCATACACTTAACATCACATTAATGTTATCCTTAGAAGACAAGAAAGCTCTTATATCCCCTTTCTTTTTTAATAATTCCTTGAAATTGTATGTCATTTAAAATCAGTTTTTGTATGGTTTACATAGGTCAGCAAACGAGCAGACGGATTACCTGATGGTAAGCAATCAGCGCCGCCCATGGACACCCGCAAAACCGAAGAAGTTACGAGTGCGTTACCGACCTTTAAGGGATGACGGTTTCGGATATTTAAGGATTGTGAAGGGATGGGGGAAGAAGGAGGGATTAAGCCTCCGGTAACCTCACTCACAGGGCTAAACACAACTTCTGTTACATTTGCCGGAATTAAAAACCGAATCAAAAACAATCAATTATAAGTCTCATCAGTATGTGCATAAGCAGCATTTTCTCTTCATACTTCCCGACCTACTGTTTCAATAAACACCATTCTTAAACAATTATTGCTTATACATTAAGTTCAAAATATTATATCTCTTAATATTACATTAGATATTAATAAATTAATTTATGTATATATCGAAAAATATAAGCGTGGTTATCTTTATATATTATTTGTTTATCCTTTGTTATACCTTCAAGCGGTTATGTGGCGAAAGTGCCATCTCAATATAAAATCATTTACTGTTAATTCCAATTTCGTTCGAACTACCTATTATAATTTATTTAATAGACTTCATTTGACTTAACATTTTAAACTTATACGGCCTTATTACAAAACAAGGTTTTACTTTAGTCTAGGACTAAACCATTGAGCCAGTTTTCGTATTTCGAATTGAGGGTAGATGACAATAAGATTCAAAATTCAATAACCGACTCAATGGTTTAAACCTGGACTAAAGATAAACCTTGTTTTGTAATAAGGGGGATAGTAAATACTATTCGTGACGCGAGATTTAAAAAAAAAAACAATATATTTTCGCAGATAATTGATACTATTTAGCAAATCACGTCAAAACATCAAAATGTTTGTAGCCGGTCCAAGTAAGAGTCGCTTATTACTGGGTGAAAACAGTACTGATGAGAAACTAGACTCGCTTCAAACATTACACAGTGGATACAGAGATCATTTGGAGATCATTTCATCTATATCCTCAACGCACTAAAGTCCTCTTAGAAAACAAGAAGAATTTTCAAATCAATATATTGCCGTGGAAAAATACCACCTCCATAAAGAAGACTAGACGTAACTCTAGCACAAACATCTATACTAATATTATAAAGAGGTAATATTTGTAAGTTTGTATGTAGGGGGTAATCTTTGGAACCGCTGGTCGCATTGCTAAAATTCTTTCACTGATAGATAGCTACAATGTCCTTAGTGCTATAGGCTATAAACATCACGCTACGATCAAATGGAGCTGAGCAGCGGGTGAAACCGAGAGAGTAGCTAGTACAGACATAAATTCATATTATTTTTGGGTTTTAAACTTTTCTCAATTTACTTGCGTCACCCAACCGCTTGAAGGTTTAAGTAAAGCATTCATTAAGAGAACATTGTTCAATAAATTTGTACTATGTACTAATAAAATATTGTTGTTTAAACTATCATGGTGTAGCTCTATTCGAGTCATCGAGTATATTAAGTTTGGGATGCATAGCTGCACTACTATTGTTCTAACTGAAAGGCTTCTCTCATCGATACGAATTGAAACTACCGAATAATCGCTTGTTGGAATCGAGTTAAGAACTTCGTTGAACTAAACAAATCGAATTAAATTTAATCGATTACTTATTCGATTGCTATATTATCGTCTAGTTTTATACATTAGTTGGTTAGTGAATTGAATGATTTACATTTAAAAGTAAGGATGTAGTTTCGAGAAATGAGGTTCGTTTTACTTCCAAATCAAAATATAATTTTCCTTTAAAAGGAAAAATGTAATGAAAGAATAAAAAATATATAAGAAAGGATACCTAAGTTTTGAAATTGGAAGAATTAGCTTTCAAAGTGTCAATCGTAAGTTTCTTCTACATACGCTTACATTCTGTAACATGACTAAGCAAGTAGACTATGAGTAGGCCCATAAACGACAGTGGCGCCAATTTGAAAGGATACTTTTTTAAAGTTTGAAATTATTTTTTAAGATTTATTAATTACATAGATAAACCAGAAGATCAGCCGGGGTTTTGGGCAAAGTGCAATGTTGTACCACAGTCCCGGCTTGAAACAAGAGAAGGAACGGGTTGATTTTTAGTCAGTAAGAGAATTGAGAACATTCCGTCTCCCTCCACCCAGAGTGAGAAGTAATTCGATGATTTTCACCCTTAACAAAAAAGGTAATAAAGTGCAATATTGTACCGCAGTCCCTAGTTAGGCTTAAAGCAAGCGAAAGAACAAAGTTATTTTTAGTCAGTAATAGTCTAAAGCTGCCTTTCATCCCACTGGTCGAGAGAAGGTTCGATGATTTTTACCCTTAATAAAACAGAGACGAATCTATCAATCAGCGCCAATGAAGTTACAAGTGCGTTACGGGCCTTACATTTTAATAATCTGCTTGCTTAGTTTTATATTCAATCTTACACCCGATTTCTGAAAGGCTTGTCAACGCTAAAATTAACTAATCTCCTGTTAAATCTCTTGTCAAGTCATCTGATTGGTTGTTGATAATTCAGTGAACCAATCAGATGACTTGACAAGAGATTAAATTGATTTTAACATTGATCGGCCTTTCGGAAACCGGGGGTTAGTCTGCTAACATTACTATAGGTAGAAGAATTCAAATACTCAAACATACTAGACCTAATAATTTGGAATGAATTTTTTTAAAAAGGTTTTGAGGGAACGGAAGAAAGAACGCTTGGTTTGGTTAGTTATATGGTATCCCGAATTATTTTTGTTACAAAAAACCTTTACAACTTTTGAACGTTTAGCTAATTTATTTCGTATTACTTATAGAATAGAATTCATAACTGTTTGGCATAGAATTAAAGTAGTATTAAAGTAGAATTAAAGTAGTATTTTTAACTGTTTTCTTAAAAAGGATGGTCTCATTTCGTTGACAATTTTAACAGCATTATTAATTAGTATAAGTAAATGTTATTTATAACTCGATTTCTTTGTTTTATAACTTGTAAAAAACAAAATGTAATAATGCACAACCTTCTAACAATTTTTTTTACAAAATTCTATTCAAATCCTTTCCTTATCATAAGTCTTTGAAACACAGTGTAAGTATGCATTATAATATATCGTGATATTGTATAAAACAATCAGGTTGCACCAAACTCACATAATTCTTTGATTTCTCGCAGGACTCACATAAATATGGGTCCCCATCGTGGCTCGAAACTAGTCGAGTATCTTTTTTGAACAATAACAAGACCAATACAATCCAATCAAACCTTAATACAGCTTAAACGAACTACATTTGCACGTCCAAACCGGGAAATCGATTACAAAATCAGGACACCATTACAAACCTTATCCCATCGACTTAAAGTCTAAATTCTACAAATTCAAGCAAGAAGCTAATTCAGACAAACACTCGTTACTATTACAAAGTTCCTTCAACCTTTCTAATTGAGATCCAGTGAAATTGGACTTTAATGACACTACACACAGTAATCTTTTATCTGAGAATTGCATAACACTATCTGTTTTAAGGAAATCGTTGAAGACTGTCCAGTTTTGTGAGACCTCTCCGCTCTTTAAGAAGCCTAGTCTTAATATACGGTAGCATAGTGGGGATATGTGTCTTATGAACTGGTTGGAACTGGCTGAGACTAGGAGGGTTTGTAAACAGTATGGTAGTAAGTGGGGGGTTACTTTCCCGTTTAGGAGATGGCAGAGAGCTTCGAATATCCACCCGGAGAGGACTGGTAACTGGTCTTGCGTTATTGATGTTTGGAATACCTGTGGGAGAAGAAAGTTTTGTTTGAATTACAGTTCAATCATTTATAGAAATCAATGTCTATCTAGAGGTCGATTTTGACGCCGTTGTAGCCCGGAGGTTAAGTTTCCATCTCCATATCAGCCAATAAGTAACCTGATCAAAGGTCTCTTCTCAAGCGGAGGTTTGTGCATTAATCACCACGATTACACAGTACACAGTAACTTATAATTAGAAATTATAAGTCCAAGTTTCCTTTCGATGTTTACCTTCACCGTATGTCAGTGGTGTCTATAGTCAGAATTTTAATTAGATTCCTGATTTGATATTACCTACTGTCAATTTGTGAAATAATGATACCACATATAACAGTGTAGTGATGAAAACAGAAATCGATAAACAATCAGTGAATCAGTTTCAGGAAGGCATTCAAAAAATTACGGCTACAGAATGGTCTAAATGCGTATCCCATGTTGTCAAAGAAAAGGAAAAAATGAGTAAGCTAGACATGTTAATTGACAATAAAAATCACAGACACAACATAATAAATGTTACAGAGAGTAACAGCGATAGCGATAACGATGACGGCGACAGTTTATAAAATTTGTTCTATTTGTTTTGTTCCTTCATGATCACATTTTTTATTAATTTCACACACAATTACAAAATAAAAGTCGTTAATTATTTATCAAAACTAAATTACCGGCTCAGAAATATTTTTTTTCACATCGTCACTATTTATTATGTGTCATAACGTTGAAACACTGAAATTGTCAAATCTGGAATGGAATTAAAATTCCGAGTATAAATAATCATAGAAAGTACATGTAACTCGGAAAAAGTTACATTAGTACTTGCCAGGTTTTAAACCCGCACTCTCTTGCATGGAAAGCGGACGCCTTAACCTCCGGGCCACCACAGAGTACCTACTACTCTTAAAACACATGCAAATTTTTACACAACAAAAAAAAAGCAAATCACCTCAAAAACGATCTCAGCATTCATAACAGCGCAATCAATCCACCGTTCTCTATCCGACGCGATCTCTATCTTAATCTTCTCAGTCTCCTTACAACATTCTAAGAACTCTATCACGACTCTACTTAGAGTCGCGGCCGGAGGTAGAGTCTCTCTCAAGAAGTATTTCAGCGACGTCGTTATGATTCTCTTACTTTCTCTCTCTTTCGTTTGACGTAAAACTTTGTAGAGTAGAGTTATTCGTTCCATAGAGTTCATCAGGATGTCCGGGTCCATATTTGATACGTCCGACGTTAGCTTTGGACTTAGGAGCTTGTTGTCGGCTGTGGAAAAAAATCATAGAATAAATAAAGTTTTTTGGACAATTTAGACATACAATGTTCAGTGATATGGTGGTCATCGTTGAGGATTTGGAGGTTGGGGTCTGATGGCGAAAGGAATTGGGTATTCGATAACCTTAGTCACATGGTGAAACCCAACGCACGAAAGCGCAAGGCATTGTTTCACGCCGGTTTTCTGTAAGCGCCGTTATATCACTTCGGTCGAGCCTGCCCATTCATGCCGAAGCTTAATATATTTCACTCACTTGAAGTACAGATCGCAGATGCGCCCAAAATTGAACGTCCAGTGCTAAATACTAGCTAATTAACGCCAAAAACTATTTTAATTGGAAAATAAAATAAGATTTTCACTAGCAAAATTCAGTGAGCAAAGTAACAGACTCGAATGCTGTTGTTATTGGTTATTTATTTTTATAAAGTTTTGCCGGCCCGCCCCGGGTCCTAAGGTATTTTCCAACTTTCCCCTCTAATTTCCTAAAATTTACAAAAACAACAAAAAAAGAATTGCATTTAAAAACACATCATTAGTAACTATACTATTACTAAATTCAGTCGTCGGCTGATGACGCGGCAACACGCATACTGCTGCATTAATAATCGTCCTCTTATGACTTTTAACTAGTAAAACTTCTCTCAGATAATTCATTTGATTAAATTGTTGTTTTTAACAAATAAAACATGTCATTCCACTGTTAGACTGTACACCTTTTTTAAATGGACAAATAATGGACCCGAAAACATACATTTATATGAAAAACTCACCAGAAAATAGATGTACCATCAATATTTGTATAGCGTGGTGTTCTGAATAGGTCTTCATGTTGTCCAAAAGCCTTTCAATGATCGAATTTTTCAGGTCTTTCGGAAGGACCTGCTGGCGGATTGTCGTTGTGATACCCTGAAAATAATAAAAATTATATATTAACAGACATTTTGAGTACAGGAGAGCCATGCTTAGCCCCGAATGAGACTGCTTAACAGGGATATTAAGGCCTCACTGTAAACGTTGTGTTGCGCTTGTGAATAAGATAAACCGAGACCCGATACTTCCCCTACCCCATTCTCAATCCCCAAATACCCCATCCTTAAATGTCGAACAACCCACCAGAAGCTTTTCATATCATTAAATGACTTCTTTCGCCCAAGATGAGGCGAGAGGGTGTGTCATACTCTTACTGACTAAAAACAATCCCATTCCTTCTCCGGCCTCATTGTGTTTTCGAGGCAACCCTGGTTAAATATCGGTATTTTTGGACCCCATTTGTGGTGGTCTATTGGCTATTTGAGGCGCGCGCGGGACGCTACGCTACGTATGCTCGGGTCTGGTTATGGTGGGGCAGCGAGCTACCCTTGTTCGCGCTTACGGTAGCCGGAGCTTGTCTCTGGAACGTACCAAAGGCTGACAACTCTCGTGTTCCGTTGCGAGTGTCCATGGCCGATTGCTTACCATCAGGTGATCCGTTTACTCCTTTACCGACATGTCCCTTATAAAGACATGTTTTAGCTTTTACCCGAGAATATAAGACCAGTATTTATTCCTCCCATATTTTATTGTGTACGCTTCGATGCCATTTTTCAGACACAATGAACAAATTTATCTTTAAAAAAATACGCGTCGAATTGAGAACCTCCTCCTTTTTTGAAGTCGGTTAATGAACAGAGTGGTTAGTTCCCAAGTATAATAGTGCATGAAAAGACATACCATATTCGTCATATACTACTACGTGATTAGTTAAAATAAACAATAAATTTGTACCAATAAAGTCCAAATTACCTTAACAACCAAATCAATGCAGTAATGCCTAGGGTTTGTTAGTACAAAGTCGACGGCCATGTTGATTAATTCTGGATGTCCGAGTTCTATCAATGTGAAGAGTACCGTCCAATATAAACTTTGTTCGTAGAGGGATATTCTGAAACAAATATAGTTATTAACAACATATTATTATTATTTTTAGTTGTTACATCAAAAGTTTTTGAAAAACAGAAGTTCAAAGGAATGTTTTAAATTAATTTCTTAGTTTCTAAGATGACTGCAGGACTACATCTAATAATTGGGTAGTTTCCTAGGTCAAAAATAAATTAATTCGACATTTCTATACAATAAAATATTGAAAAATAACAAAACTTTTATTCATCAATCGATCGATACAGTATATTTTAATAATTAAACATTTTTTTAAGAAATAAGTAAACTATGTATTTGGCGCAAAAATACTATGACGTCATAACTCAGTGTTACATACAAATTTCATAGAAAAGTATCGTTTTTGACATTTCGATAAAAGTATTGAATTTGACTAGTTGGAAACTACCGTATTATGAAGCTGAAAATTTTGTATGTGTTTTTCATGACATAAAATCGTTATTATACAAAACTGACATATCTATTATAAAATACCAAAAAAATTGAAACTGAAACCAATTTGGCAAATCTCTATAAAAATACCCTGTGCATATTTTTTTTTTTACTTGATATAAACTAGTGCTTGACTGCGATCCCACCTGATGGATCCCACCTAAGCAGTGATGCAATCATTGATGGTAAGGCGCACTAGTTTATTAAGAGCCTATTCACTCTAGCCTTGAAGACACCTAAATTATATTTGGACGGAAAGACTGCAGCCGGCAAACTGTTCCAATCCCTTGATGTACGCGGTATAAATGATGAGGCAAAACGCTTAGTCCAGGCCGCAGGTGTCTCAGCAACGTAAGGGTGGAAATTTGCCGTACGCCGGGATGTCCGAAGGTGAAATGAGGATGGCGGAATCAAATCGTGCATTTTGCGCAAAAACTACAATATGCGCAAGTTTGCGCAAAACTTACAAGCGGTTTATGACATAATTTATTGAAAATCCTTAAAAAATATTACTAAATAAATAAAATATTATATAATAATAACACATACTTGGTATTTGGCGCTAGATACTGTTTCACAGCTACATTTAACTGTGAAACGAGTTCATGGAACGGGTTCGGCGCGCCGTGAACATTGGCGAGGTAGTGTGCCTTCCCCGTTAACTGTAGGAGACAACCCTGCAGTGCCGCTTGACGCAGGGGCGCGTAGCTTGAAGATAAAGACTTTAGAAGTTTCTGGTGAACTGTTGATAGCTCCTGTGTGAGAAAGAGATAGAATTTATTATATTTATAAAGGAAATAGATAGGTTTGCTTTCTTGAGTCATTTTAAGTGCGAATGCTTTAGACTCTGCTTTCAAATTTCGAATTTCTTAGACATTATGGATTGAGTCTGATTTTTATTTATTATTGGGCGATAAATTTGACTAGGTTTCGGTTATGCTTTTAAATGCCGAATTCATTCGAGATGGTTAAAAAAATTGAGTTCGATATTGTTTAAAATAATAAGCGATAGATTGAACAATATGGCGATAATCTTAACTTATATTATAAAGTGGTAAAATTTTTATTTTGTAAGTTTGTGTGGTGGTGTAATCTTTGGAACTAGTAGGGTTTCCAAAATTCACCGCTAGATAGTTACAATGTTCCATAGTCCTATAGGTAATGATCACGCTACTATCAAAGCGAGCCAGGCAGCGGGTGAAACCGCTCGAGAGAGGCTAATTTATTTATATTTTCATAGGAATTACGGTAAATATTTACTACCACACTGCTGTAAAAAAGCAACAAAACTTTAATTGCGAGTTCTCTCAGCCCTCTTCTTTATGAAGTACGATACATACCTGTAGTCCCTCGAATCCATCCAAGACGCACATACAATCAGATAATGCAAGCAGTAGCGCTCTGCCGGCGGCGCTGTACTGTGTGAGCGCGGCGTGTGGCGCGCCCGTGACGGCGATAAGCTGTCCGGCCGCCCAGCACCAGTGCGCCGGCTCACTGAACACGGCACTGCTTTGGCTCATACAGGACAGCAGGGCCACGCGGGCCGCTAGACCTGTCGGCGCCTGGGGAACGAAGGTGCTTTTTCAAATCATATTAAGAATCAAATCAGTTTTAGTAAGTAAGTTAATAATTTCTTTGGACACTCTGTACAAAAGTAGTGTTGTACATAATGATAAAAAAACAATCGTGTTGCGTTGAAATATAGCATGCAAAATTTACATTAAAGTAAATTATAAAATTTATGCTACTTGTTTTTTTTTTCAAGTACATTCGACATTCAAAACTAGCCTGTATGGGCCAACTGTTTCTCGGATTTACCATATCTGCCATCTTTATTTTTTTAATTGAACCACGAACTTGCATATTTTAAATACATAAAGAACTGGGAACGGCAACAAACCAAGGTATTTAAATATTGGTCGACATGAATCGTCACTTTTTAGTCATTGTCAGACCAATTATGCCATATTTTCACCATCGATCCCTTACCTTAGGCTCCAACATTTGTGACGTGACATCCATTAGAATCTGTAGACAGCTGTTGATATCAATCTCCTTGTTCCTTCGGACTCTTTTCACCTCTCTCTTCACTTTGTAGCTCGCATCGTCAGTTATATCTGTGTTAGAAATATAATATAAGCGTGTATTAGTAATGCAATTTTGGAAGGGTAATTCCCTAAATAGAAAATGTTTATCCCATACTTGCCGACTTCACTCGCGTAGTTTATAGACTATCACCCGGTTTCTGAAAGGCTTGTCAACGCTAAAATTAACTAATCTCCTGTTAAATCTCTTGTCAAGTCATCTGATTGGTTGTTGATAATTCAGTCAGCCAATCAGATGACTTGACAAGAGATTAAATTCATTTTAACATTGATCGGTCTTTCGGAAACCGGGTGTTAGTTTACCAGGAAAAGTTTAGATTTGTTACAGTGAAATATTTTTTCAAATCGATCAAGAAATTTTTGAGCCTTTTCGATTCAAACAAACAAACAATCAAAAATTTCCTCTTTATATTATTTGTATAAAGAGGAAAGATTTGATTGGCGGGTACGTCTCTCAAAAAACACATATTTGTATATTGCAATCATTTCTTTCACTTTACGTATCATTTATTAAACTATCCAATCGATATATTACAAGATCAAATCTCTTTTCTAAACACACATTTACCGGAGGCCTTTTTTATCAGGGGAAATCATCAAATGCCTTCTCCCGGCCACGGTGAGGCGAGAGTGTTAGACTCTTACTGACTAAAAACCCCCCGTTCCTTCTCCTGCTCTAGGCCAAGGCCGCGGTGCCTCATTACGCTTGCACTGCAACCCCGGCTGAACATCAGCCCTATAGGGCCCCGTCTGTGGTGGTCTATTGGCTCTTTAAAGCGCGCGCGAAACGCAAAGCGCCTTTCGCTCGAGACAACGGGGTGGCTCTTAGTTAGAATCTGACACTCTCTTCCCCACCAAGGGCGGAAGAAGTTATTTATTGACAAACCCCCTCCTCCTCATAAAAAAAACAAATAAAAATAAATGTAAAATCACCTGAAGCCAGTTTTAAGTACTCAGTATTGAACTGCGCGTAATGATATCCGTCGAAGCCGTCATTCATTAGCGGTATTCGTTCCAGGTTGACGCATTCAAATATCTTGTATGACGATGTACCGACTAGGATGTTGCGGAGACGTTGCATACTAAAAAAAAAAAAAACAAAAAAAAAAAACATTATTTCCGCTCTAATTTGTTTGTTTGCTGTCGTTAAGTGTTCGAATGGGGGTGCTCTCGGGGTCTCAATCGATTATTAAATGCTAGCATCTGCCATTAAGTCTTGGTGGCCCGAAAGTTAAGGCACCCGCTTCTTATCTATGAGGATGCGGGTTCGAACCCTGACAAGTACCAATGTGACTGTACTGACTGTTTCCGAGTCAAATTGTGCTTTATAAGTTCATTTAGATCCACAGACCTACGTTGAAGGAAAACATCGTGGGGAAACTTGGACTTATAATTTCTATTTTTTTGTTTTAAATAGCCAATCTGTCTTGTGCAAGCGTGGCCTCTAGCATGGCTAGTCGAGTATCTCGTCAAATTATTACGTGAGTAAGCCGAAAACATCATAATTAATTTAGAATGTCTCACGACAGTTATAATTAGAAAAATAAACTTACCCTTCATTGCACGCCAATTTCTGCCTAGCGACATGTACAAGTGTGGCTGGTGTCCGTCGCCTTTTCGGAGCCGCGCTGAGCAACAACTGGGTGATACCGCGCACTGCCCAATGCGTTCCATTGCCTTGCAACGCCCCCAGTAAACCTACCCACATCTCCTCAAATTGCTTTTTGGATGACCAACCTATTAGGTTTACCCTGGAAATGAAAAATTGATGTTTTTGTTAGGTAGACAGAATAAGTGCTATTGTTTTTTCTTTGTATTTTAGCTCGCTAGATGGCGCTTGGGTTGTTTAAGGTCTTTTGCTACTCTTGGATGGCTACCAAGTAAACTTAAAGTCCTGTTGGTCTTATCGAAGATAAATCAAAATCTAATTTTTTTATCGATATTTTTGGACAATATTATAGACTTTAGACTATATCAACGTCAATAGGTGAACAAGAAACGGCAGCCCTCAAACCTAACACAGATAGGTTATGTTATAAATTTGATCTAGTGGGAGAGCAACCCTCCCGCACAAATGAGCAGGCTCGACCGGAGTGATATCACGGGCTTAAAGAAAACCCTATATTTCTGTGTGAGCGAGATTTGCAGAGTCCCAATCCTCTACACTATTTATTTAAAACAGTTTTGTTAGGTTTATTTTGTTAATGCAGACGGATCACCTGATGGTAAATAGGCGCCGCCCATGGACATTCCTAATACCAGTGGAGTCATTGGTGCTTTCCCAATTGTATTTGCCAATCCTCAATGTAAGCAGTTTAGACACTACGCTTACCTGAACAAAAACGCCTCTAGAACATCCATATCCTGCAATGCTTGTAGAGGCAAGTCTATCTTCTGAAGATGATCCTTCTTGGACACAACGTCCACTGAGGACCAGGCTATTGGAGGTATTAGGGATATGTTGCTCATTATGTCAAGCCTGGAATCAATAATCAAAGTGATATAAACTCTATTTCTAAACCTATATGGTTGGTTATTCTTATAAGTCGCGATGTTTGTGGCTGACACTGAGCTCATACAAAGCATTTAAGAAAATGGCACTCTATTATAAAGGGGATATAAATTATATTACAAAAGCAAACACTACAATACTAGATTGGATTAGCAAATTAGCAATTTTCACTTTGCAAATTACATTTTCACGGTTTTCGCTATTAATGTAAAGGTTTTCGCTAATAGTTTATTTTTTTATTCTGTTTTTTTTTTATAGAAACCTTTTTTTGTAAGGTGAATTGAAAATCGATCTCAAAAATTTTGCCCAAAAATAATTTCAACTATCTGATCCACAGAGTAAAAAAGTAAATATCGAATATTTTTAAAAGACACTACGTTATAAACTGCTTTGTGAAAGACATCAATCACTACATAGTATAAAAGAAAGCCGCTTTCTATGCCTATGTGTATGCTTAAATCTTTAAAACTACGCAACGAATTTTGATGCAGTTTTGTTTATAGATAGAGTGATTGAAGACAGACGTTTATATGTATAATACTATCTATTAAATAGTGGAGAAATTTAGAATCAGTACACGTGTGAAGCCTGAGCGGGCTCGCTAGTAAATAATATAATATACCACTCACCTAGCCAATGAAATCAACAAACTCTCAATAGGCTCCTTATAACACTTCTCTAAGAAATCACCAGAGCACTTCGCATAGAAGTTAATCTCCCAATATTCTAGAAGGGTGATTAATTTATCACCGGTGATTATCATGTCGGGTTTAGGACCTGAATCTTGTGACTGCATGTAGTTTTTAGGTGTAAGAGGTCTTGTGTCCTGAAAGATAAGGTTTAAAATTAATTGGTAATTTACTTCGTTATGACGCCGCTGATGATTGAAAAGCATTTAGTGGTTGACATTTTGAGAGAAGCAGGCCTGCTTCTCACAAAATGTAATCTTACAAGGAGATGTTTAAAGTCAGTTATTACTTAGAATTCCAAATTCAATTTTGCTTTCTAATCATCTTCAGCCTATAGTGCCCACTGCTGAGCAAAGGCCTGTAATAACCTGGCATGTTAACTTAAAGTTTAAATAATGATATCGTTAATTATTGTTTCATTGATATGAAGAATCACTCATACTACCAAGTACTTAAAATTAAATTCGCTATTTTATTGAAATAGGTATATAATAGCCATTGAAACAATAAAACAATGAATTTGTATTTTTTTGCAAATAAACAAAAAAAGCGCTTTTACACGTCGCCATTATATATAAAACAAATTCTACGTAGGTGAAGCCGGCATTTCCTATCTGACTACTCTGCCGAAACCATCTCAAAGATTAATCACTTTTAAAGTCCAGACAATGTAAAAGTAATGTGTGAGTACAATGGGAACAAAGTGAAGAGAAATAAGAGTGTTGAGCAACAACCATCCTTATCACACTATAAATAAGACGCAACATAATAAAACATACCTTAACCAAATACTTGACAACAGCATACAAACAGCTTACAGCAGATTGAGTTCTATTGACATTAGCATCAGTATTCAATTCGTTCCAAATTTCCTTGAAACTCAACGCCTTTGACACATTATCAATTGTGACACTTATAACATTGTCAACGACAACATTATCTGACACTGACGTTGTTCCTCTAAATGACACATCCGTATGGACGGGCGTTTCAACTATTTTCTTATTTTTAATTAAAAATGATAAATATTGTAACGATATTACGGCGAAAATCGCCATATTTTTAGCCAAAGTTGGTGGTAGGATATTTTCTATACATTTATCGAGTAAATCACAGTCAACATCGTCAATGAAGGATATCATTCTGTCTAGAGATGATAGGAATCCTGTTATGATTGTTTGTAATATATAAAATTCTTGATAAAAGACTTTGTCTTGAAAAACTTGATGACACCTTCTTGTGTATCTATCCAAGGTCTGTTCAACGTTCAGACTAAAATTTTCAGACTGACTCAAAGGCCTGATCTGTTTTGGAAAAAGCCTTATAATGTCAGATAAAGAATTTTCTAATGTGGCAATACCAATAATGTACAAGGCTGGCAACTCTGGCGGATCGATCTCTAGATCTTCATCAGAAATTTGTAGATTACCAAAATTCTCTTTCAAATTCTCGTTATCAGTGATCGGTATAAAGAATTGTGATTTGGATTCTTTATTGTCGCTTTTTTTGAAAACGTGTAGCGTGTTAACTACGTTTAGTTTGTTACTATCGATTGATGACGTCATCTCTTCTCGAACTCTCATCATTCTCTGTTCTCTGGCGCACTCTTTCTCATACTCTTTCGTTTCGTGTACAGAGATGATGTTTAAGAATTCTCTAAGGTAAGTATCACAGGCTATTCTGAATGCTGGATTTAGTATTTTCCTGTCAAATTCTGGACAGGCCATTATTGTAGCGAGGTCTTCTTTGGGTAGGTTTGAGAGCAAATGTGCGAGATCATCTTGTTTCAATGCTTTTGGTGTTTTGCAGTCATTTTGACAGCATCTGTGGGAGTAAATTAGATTTTTTTTAGATTAAAATATCACACTTAGTTTTGGAAATGAGACAAGTTATAGATTTAGAGTTGCTTGTAGGGCTAAATCTACACAAATATGAAAAGGAAAAGTCATATTTTTGTTTAATTCGAAATCATTTATTCTAACTAAACCATAAATAGGCACTTTTGAAATGTCATACGTACGTCGTTTGTGTTTATGTTTCTAATGAATAAATTGAAAAAAATCCTTTCACCATTTTTTAGCTTTATCTAGGGATTGGGAAGCCTTAAATCTCCAAAACCCTAATCCCCATAAGACCGGCAACGCACTCGTGACTTCCTCTTGTGTTATTGGTGTCCATCGGTGATGCCGGTTGCTTACCATCAACTAATCAATCCATCTGATCGTTTGCCAACCTACCACAAAAAAATTATAATAATTACCTGCTCTTAACTTGATTTAACAACCAATTGTTATCGACGTTGGTGGTCACAATGTACTGTGGGTTGACAGCTCTGTCCTGGGACAAATCTAGCGGCGACAGGTCAAATACACTGGACGCTAGAGAATTTAACTCCACTACTAGTGTTGAGTATCTGTTGAATAATGAGAAAGTTTAAATAGGCATACAAAAATCCTCCTGATTTTAAATGTACGGTGGGAAATTGAGCCAATCCTTGATATTGATAATTTTTAATCGTGTCACACTCACAAGCACATAAGTTAAAAGGCAATTTGCAGACATTAATTTTCTCATTCCAATTTCTGGGTTTCCTTTTTTTCGTAGATTGCGGTTATATATTATTAGGTAGTTTATTCACGTTAGTCGTTTTTTTTTTCAAGTATTTTAAATTTAGTATGTCTCTTTATAGTTACCATTCAAACAATTTGTTACTTCATTTCCGTACATGGTTGCCCGACTAGTTTCGAGCCCAACCGGAGCTCTTAACCCCGAGATTAATACGCGGCACGCACATTGTTCAATTTATCATTTCTTAAGGCAGTGTACTACATAATCTTACCTCGTATGAACTTTGTCCCTTTGTAGTAGCTCTAGAGCAACCTGTACATCTTCTTTGGAAAGTTGTTCGTTGATCTTATCAACTGACATCTCTTTTAGTAAACGGCATCTATCTATTGCTAGTTTAGCGAATCTGTAAATTAAAACAATAAAACATTGAATGTTAGCTGTCGTAAATCATTACATAGTATAAAACAAAATCGCTTTCTCTGTCCCTATGTATGCTCAGATCTTTAAAAACTACGCAATACATTTTGATGCGGTTTTTTTTTTGTAATAGATAAAGCTATTGAAGAGAAAACTTTAAGTCTAATGACATCCATTTAATAGTAGAGAAACTTAGTATTAGCATTGCACCCGTACAGCCGGGGCGTGTTGCTAGTCTGTATATTATATAACACAAAATCGTGTCGGGGATATATGTAGTTTACAACCAGAAGAAGAACATAGGGTAGGATAGGTAGAGTAGGTAGGTAACCAGGTAGGGTAGATAGTCAAATGACGGGGCGAAGCCATGGGCAAAGCTAGTAGACCATAAACAGAACCGTAATAGGTACGTCACCATTAAATAAATAAAACTAGATTAAGGATTACCTAGCAGATTACATTGAGAAGAAATGCCAAGAAGTTACTCTGACAGAGGTCACTCTCTCACTCTCAAAAAATCCTTTGTAACTATGTTTCCAACTATTTTTTTTCCACAAAACATTACAATGAACATGCCTTATCAGTTTTGTCAAACGAATCTTCAGTAATTACTAGATACTAGATAGTGTATAAAAAAACAAACCTGCCAGCTATAGCGGGCTCCAGTTTCCCGATGATCCGACATATGAGAAACACGAGCGCTCCCGACTGACTCTCGTGGCATAAGGACAAGATCTTGTATGTGTTCAGAGCGAATTCGTCCTATAAAATAAAAGTCATAGTTCAAGATGGGTGAAGAAACCAACTTAATTCTACATCGAGACCATGTTTAGTGCAAACATGGCTCTTGATGTATTATAGCAAAATAGGGTAAGAAGAATGGGTGAAAAGTGGTTATTGACATTAGGAAATTGCTTCGTTTTTCGTATTCATTTACCACTACAGTTATAATCATCCCGTTTTACCGTAACTCAATAAATTAATGAGCTACTACAAAAAAGTGTCTTTGGTATGGAGAGTCAAGCTTCGGCACGAATGGGTCGGCTCAACGGCGTGATATCACGACCTCACAGAAAACCGGTGTGAAACAACCACAGAGTTGTATTTCGCCGTGTGAGTGAGTTAACCGGGAGCCCAAATCCCCACCTCCTCCCTCCTCCCCCATCCCTTTGCAATCCTTAAACACCTGAAATACTTAATCCCCCAAGGGTTATATCCCCAGCACACTCATAACTATATTGATTGATTGCTTGCCATAAGGTAATCCGTCAGCTCGTTTACCAATCTCATAAAAAAAGACAAAAACTTACAAACCTTCAAACACCCCTGACATCTAGCGGCGACAGCTTGCAACAGTAAGCCAGACGCTCCCGCCATCTGTTGGACCTTGGCTATCAACATTTGTACTATCTCTTCTCTGTATTGACTCACTAGAATATGTACGCGGTTAACTAATAACCAGGTTAGATGGACCGCTTCTGTTAGACCGTTTTCTACCTGGAACAAAGAATTTTGATTGGGATTTTTTATTTTATTAAACAGCTGTCAAAGGATTGTTTTGTGATTTCAACATGAGAATACTGTCCGGTAAGTTTCTTAAGTATTCAGAGGACCCGATGCTCTCTTTTAAGTGAAGATGGTGACAACTGGTAGGAATTTAGCGAGGCAACAAAACCACAATCTCAAACACTCAAGGTTTTCGCTCTTAAAAAAAAAGTAACAAATTATTTTTCCCGGATAGGGCGAGAAGGGGTGTCAGCCTCTTGCTGAGTGCCTTGTGTAATACCTAGGCCTAGTTGATATTATGATTTGCGTATGAATTTGTTTGTAAACGCACCAACGACTAAAAGAAAATTTTAGTACGTGGCAAGATTTAGATGTGAAATAACAACACCCAAGAAAGTTTGGGTCAACTTTTTTATGAAGAAATATAAGTAAAATTATCATAAAATAAATAAATTAAAAATAAAAATAAATACTTAAATAAGAATTTTTTTTTACTAAACCTAACCTGTTTCTTGTTAGAATTAGTTTAAATGCATTTGAAGTTTTAAATGTTTTGTTCAGTATCTGGTTTGTTTTCCAGAACCCCTGAAACCCCAGAAAGTATCACCACATAGTGTAAAACAAAATCGCTTTCTCGGTCCCTATAACCTTGTGTATGCTTAAATTTTGGTGCAGTTTTTATTTTTAATTGTTATGTTGATTGAGGTTGACCACGGCGAAGGTGGTGTGACGATCTGATCATGTTCGCGGGGCAAACTTGGCCGGAGATCGCTCTAGACAGAGAAATTTGGAAGGAAAAAGGGTAGGCCTTTGCGCAGCTGTAGGAAACACGATAGGCTATTAAAAAAAAAATGTTGATTGAAGAGAGGGTTTATATGTGTAATAACATCTATTAAATAGTGGATACATTTAAATCGCTAGTAATAATATAAAACTCACAAAGTATTCGCAGTACGCCATAACGCAGGCTATTTGTAGCGTATCGACGCGTAACAGTTGGGTGTCGCCGCAGACGGCGCTCAGCGGCAAGTTGCGAGCGAAACCTATTAGCTTCTGCCAGTACTTGTGCAATAGGAAGTTTAGTCTGAAACAGAGAACACATGACATCGTTTTATAGCCGAAAGAAAAGGGTAAATAAATGGGGGCTATAAGCAACTTTTCGCCAGTAATATCTTGTTCTTTGGAGAACTTAGAATCTATATGGGATAGCCATTTTTAAGAGTGGGTTCGCCCAGAGGTATACCACGGCCACACAGAAATCCGGGGCGTGAAACAGCCACAACCTTATTTTTTGCCGTGTGAATGGGGTTACTGGAGATCTTATCCTTCCCCTCTTCCAATCTCACCCGGATCCCAAAATCTCCAAATCTCCAAAAGCTCTTTTCGCAATTATATCTGCTTCGTTATTTCGGCTGTCCGTGGGCGGCACCGATTGCTCCATCATCATCATCATCATCATCATCGTCGTCGTCATCAGCCTGATGTCGTCCGCTGCTGGACATAGGCCTCCCCAATTGCACGCCACTGAGCTAGATGTTCAGCTCTTGTCATCCAACCACTGCCAAGCACCTATTGCTTACTACCAGGTGATACTCCGATATCCCATAAAAACAATTAACAAACATGAATCTCCAAAGAGCAAGCATTCATATATTGTATGAGACCTCTCTAAATCTTATCTTACTGATATTATAAATGCGAAAGTTACAATGTTTGGGTGTTAGTTACTCAATCACACCAAAACGGCTGGACGAATCTGTATCAAATTTAGTACAGTCGTAGGATACACTCCGGAATAGGACATAGGCTATTCATAAACATACCACGCGGGCGAAGCCGCAAGCGGAAGCTAGTTAGTTCACGACTTACTAACGTAACTATTTTACGTAACAGTTCGACTAGTTTCAAATCACGACGGAGCTCATAATCGTAACAATTCATACCTGATAAGCAAATGCGACCAATGTACAGTCAGCAAAGGTATCCGATGCGCAGACTTCAAACATATCAAGTTGAGTAGATCGAGGGGAATATTTTCTTCGGGACTGTACAGACCAGTATTCAAACCGCTTTGTTCATTGTGGAGCAAGCTTTGTGCTGTTTTAGCTGATAGGGGGAAGAGGCAGCCATCTGAAAACGATAAGTGAGAATTTTTGGTCCGTTATAGAGTTATTTCAAGGTCATTTCTAACTTATGTGTTTTTTAGTAAATATTACCCCCACTCCAGGCTTTTCTTCAATGCCTTGGGTGCGTTTACAAACATACAAATTCATATACACAAACCACCCTGATATGAAACAACAATTTGCCGATCACTCAAAGTATTGTTCCTTTGGGGAATCGAACCCGCGAGTCGTAGCACAGCAGCCAATTGGCCAGCCACTGCGCCAACCGGTTTTGGATGCACGCTTAGATTTTTATATTGATATTTTCGGATTATCTCCAGTATCGCGGGTGCGCTTACAAACATACAACATACAACAATTGGCTAGTTTTAAACGTCGAAAATAAATTAATTTGACGTTTCAATACATTCAAATATTGAAAAATATCTATAGGTACCTCTATGCGTCAAAATTTCGGTACACAACTTTCGAAATTTTTGGCAGAGCCAAGCTTTGTCACGAATGGATCGGCTCAACCGGAGTGATACCACGGCCTAATAGAAAACCGGCGTGAAACAACCACTGCGTTGTGTTTCGCCGTGTGAGTGAGGTTACTGGAGGCCCAATCCTTCTCGTTTCCCCCATCCTTCCAAAATCCTTAAACATCCTCAAACTCCGGCAACGCACTCGTAACTCCTAAGCGCCGATTGCTTACCATCAGGTAATCTGTCTCCTTATTTGACGAACTATCTCATAAAATTAAACCAAACTTCACTGACGAACAGACTGACAAACTACTACCTATATTCTATTTTGACGTTTCAAAACTACCTAGTTATGGTTTAGTTGGAATAAATGATTTGACTTTGGCTTGACTATAAATTTGAAAAGAAAGACACATACAGAAAAAGCGTTACATAAACTCACCTGTCAAATGCAGCATATGTTTGACTTGTACAATAATATTGACGCAGACAGCATAGAACAAGCTGTTCTGTTCGCTATCCAAACACTCGTAAACATTATCCATTTCCATTATCGCGTACGTCAAGGTTTTAAACAAGAATCGTACCAAAATCACGTCCGGAGACAGATTGGCGCAATTCTCATTAACATTTTGCACGTTCAATGGATCAACGTCCGTTTTGACGTTAAAAAATATCGACAATGGAGATATGCAGGTTGATTTCAAATAGTTAATCGTCAATAAAATCTCGCTTTCTGGTATTAAAACGAGTATTTTGCGCAGAAGTACCATTATTATTGAGAGGTAGCGGATTTTCAGTTTTAGAGGCGTTGTTGCCTGTAACAAAAAAAGCTAAATAATAATACATAAAGGTAAACAAAGTGATTTTTCGGAAGAGATAAACATCATTAGTCTTCTCTCGTCCTAAGGGGGCGTCCATAAATTACGTGAGGTGTTTTTTTTTTTCAATTTTCTGCCCCAAGGTGAGATGTCGTGAGATTTTATTCAACCCCAACCCCCTCCCCCATCCCCGAATCTCACGAACAACAACAACACTGAAAACACTGAAATTGTCAAATCTGTAATTCGATTAAAATTCCGAGTATAGGGCATTTATTGCCCTTAAAGAGTTTATATTTAAATCTAGCTGCCCGTCCCGGCCTCGAACGTATATCCAACTGTCTCGGTGTCAGTCATTTGTTTTGTTAGCGAACGACTACAGTTGTTATTTCCCCTCTATTTTTCTAAAACTCTCTTTTATAATAATAACCTTCCCCAGATAAACACAGCATTGAAATAATTAAATGAATCGGCCTAGCCGTGTTACCTAGGCTGACCTAGTTATGCGTGACCAAAGGAAATTCATAGTGATATACAAACATATAATCGTATTTTTACTAGTAGCAGTAAAAAGGTATACTAGTAGGAAGCGATCGCAACGCTATAAATCTCGACAAATATTTATACAAAAAATATACTATGTGTATTGAGAATTTCCCAACCGAAAATTGAAATGACTTAACTAGATGAAATCAAACCTTAACCCAAAACCATAGGATTCAAATTCATATAACAATACATTAAACAAATAAAACACCAAAACTCACCTGATCCGGTGGAGCTTTAAATAGAATCTTCAACAAGATCTCCACTCGGCTCTGTTCTAACAGGACATCTTTGTAAACCGTGTCCAATAGCCTTTCTAGAGACTCTATAGCCCTTTTGCAGTCTAATTCTATAGACCTCTGGGTTAAAAGATTGAGTAAAGTGTCACTGGCTAACTCTGACCATCGGTAATAGCTCTCTGGGTGTTCTTGAGAGAGAGATAGAACGCAGGATACTAGTTCTAATACCTGGAATGAAAGAGAAGAAAGAGAAATGATTGTGATATCTGGTGTTACAGGTTTATATTCTTAAGAGTGGGAGAGCCATGCTTCAATGCGAATATCGGTATGCCTCGATCGGATTGATATAGAAAACCAGCGTGAAATCATGCTTGCATTTCAGAAGGTTCAATGTTCGTCCTCATCCCCATCTTCAAATCCCTAGGCCCCTAAAAGCTTGGAGATAAAGATTGGGTTGAACGAATACAGAAACTGAAGCATAGAGGAAACTCAATAGCGTTCGTTATAAAATTTTAGTTTATTAGTTAGTAACTTTAATGTTGGAATTCACAGGCGCTATACTTCACTTAGGCTATAAAACATCACCCTACGGCCAATAGGAGCCGAGCAGCGGATAAAAATGCGCGGGTGCAGCTATATAGTACATAACAAAATTAAGTCTACAATCGTACCTTATGTTGATGCATAGTTTTCTGTAGCATATAAAATAAAACCTCTCTAGTGGCTTGAGCTTCTTGTTGTTGAGCTCTGCCTAACACACTGGTACCTGCAAATTAATCATTTTAAAATTACATCATCATTATTATCAGCCTATAAGTGCCCACTGCTGAGCAAAGACCTCTTCTCACACGGATAAGGTCTGTGTATGAATCACTACGCCTGTTCAAGGCTAATTAGGGATGTCATAAGAATAAGAAATTATAATTCCAGGTTTCCTCACGATGTTTACCTTCACGGTTCGTCAATGGTATATAAATAAACTATGACATAAATCGTAAAAAGTTACATGGGTAGTAATTGCCAGGCTTCGATCTCGCATGACGAAAAAACAAAAGAAATAAAATTTATAAGCAATGTTGTGTTTCTTTTTGTAAGTGTGGGAGACCCAAGACCCAATCCTTCCTTATCTCCCATCCCCCAACCCGAATCCCGAATCCCTAACCCCCATCCCCAAGACCCAATCCCCAATCTCCAATCAACAATACCCAAATTCCCAACTCTCAAATCTCTAACCTGGCAACCTACTACCTTAAACTGTAATAATGTAGATGCCTACTGTATACTTACAAACAATACATTTTAAACCTTATCTGCTCAAATGTAAAGTTTAATATAAGTTTGACGTATTACTTACCTCCCATATTACTGAAGACTTTCACAGCCACTGGTTCTAATCCAGCAATGCATTCTGAATGAGCGCCCGAAGCCATCAATCCATCACAAAGTTGAATTAACTGTAACACAAGTTACAATGTAAAAACAACTTTAATTTGACCATTCTAAAATTCAGTTTTGTTTGTCAACATTCAGGCTGTAATGCAACTACAGAAACTAAGCTTTATTGAGAAAACACTAGAGTACATTTTCGATATCACTTTAATTTATAGAATCGATTTAAAATACTAGTTTTACCATAGAATGCACTAACAAAATTGTATCTTATAACGAAACCGTAAGAGTTTATTTTTGTTTAGCCTAAAACAACTTTACGTATACAAAGCAATTTACCTTTGGTATTTCTATAATTTGTTTGGTGTGATGTTTTGAAGACGAGAGTTGCACCAAAAACATGAGAATACTGTTCACTAAGTCGCAGCAATTACTGGAATAGAAAAAGACAGTCCATTATATAATCACCTACGAACCTTCCCCTATTTCGCACGGGGTCTAACAACCTATTAGCTCACGAAGAAAGGCCCGCAATTTCCCAAATTTCATCTATACTTTTCTTAAACGATATTCATCAGAACCCCTGGCCCTTCTCCTGAGCTTTTTGAACCGGGCTATTTTAGTTTTAAATGAGCCCGGGTGTGTTCAAAAATACGTGGGCTTAGGTTTTGTTTCTAAATAGATTCGGTTATTTTATCTACCTTGCTATGGATAAAATCGATATTGCCCAAATTCACCCCTTTTTTTCTAAAATTTTCTTTCATACGAACCTTCATCCGATTTTAGCAAAAAAAAATTGGTCCAGTCATTTTTGAGGTATTAAGCTTCTTTTGTGAGGAGAAAATAGTCTATTGACTCACACAATTTTTTTTTTATTGTTTCACTTGTTTGCTTTGTGTCCTGTATGCGTCCTAGACGCGAATAAATACTTTTTGTTTGTTATGTCGTAAAAGAGTATTTCATTTATTTAATAGACCCGTATAAACAAATTGTCCTGACTCGTGTTTATATTATTTAGATACTTACGGTATTTCATGCTGTTCAACCAGATCTAGTTGCGTCATAAGGAATCCTATAAAGATCTGATCACTGTCCAACATGCAGTAGTTCACTCTTAATGTAAGAAGCTGGTTCAATAAGCTCAGGACTTGACATTGAAGGGGAATGTCATTTTGCATCGTATAACTCTGTAATTAAAGGTCATATTAGATCAAAAGCTTGATTTTACATGTCTATCAATTAAATAAAAGAAAATAGTAACAGTACAGGCAAGAGTAAGTATATTAATAAGTAACTAAATGCGTTGACTGGCTCGAAACACAGAAACTAGAGACTTTTTTATATTGCACTAGCGGCCCAACCCCGCTTCGCACGGGTCCAACTGTCTCCCTAACAATGAAAGAGTCCCTTTTCCCCAATTTTCCCCTCCACTTTTCTAATATTTTCTATCATAAGAACCTTCTCCTGGCAATAATAAATACAAAACAAAAGCTATTGGCAAAATTGGTTCAGCCGTTTTTGAATTATGCGCTTACCAACACCTTTTGGGATTAATTTTTATATTATAGAAAGATCATACAAAAACTTATACACTTCAGTAGTTCTTTTATCCATGTGGGAGAACTTTGTTTCGTCGCGAGAGCTAGATTATCACCCCAATCTTCTCCCCCCTAAGTCCAATTCTCTAAGCTTGGGGCTTATAATATTCCTAACTTCCATAATGATAACACACTAGAAACTTCTTCGCCATTGCGATTGCCAACCATCAGCAAAAACGTCTGCTTGTAAGCCGCCTTATCCTATAAAAAAAAAACAATACTAACCTTCAAGGCCTGTATAACAACAGGTTCAAACAGTCTTATATACCTTTCCAACTCCTTCTTATTAGTATTCCATTTCCTATCAGATTTATTCTTAGCAAAATTCTCCATTGTTATCAATAACTGTCTTTCAGCTACCATCCTTGGATTTTTCGTGTCCAAAGCCAACTTTTGACTAGCATTAGAACACACGCTACTCCTTCTAGATTCTTCTTTTAATACTACTAAGTCATTTAACATCATAACATCTTTATAGAAGCTTATAACTTCTTCAGGATTATTCTTATTAAAAATACTCATGAAATCTGAGTATTGATTCACCATGTTCGTTCCAAAAAGGCATTTAAGCAGTTGTGTTACGCTATAAACTGTCTTGTCAGGACATAGTGGCATTATGACTTTTAGATAGTAGAGAATTTCTTCGGTTACTGCACCGATTTCTCTTTCTGTTGCTAGTTCTAGTTGTATTGATAAAGCGTTTAGTACTGTTGAGAGGAATGTGTGGAATATACTCGTTTTTGGATCAAGGTTTATCTGTGGAATAAAATTTAAGTTTAGTTGACAGGTCTCAGACATTAAATGTGGGAAAACTTTCGGCACGAATCGGGCGGCTCGACCGGAGTGATACCACGGCCTCACAGAAAACCGGCGTGAAACAACCACAGTGTTGTGTTTCGCCGTGTGAGTGAGGTTACCGGAGGCCCAATCCTTCCCCTTCCCAATCCCTCCCCAGTTCCTAAATCTCCAAATCCCTAATCCCTAAAAGGTCGGCAACGCACTCGTAACTCCTCCGTTGCGGGTGTCCATGGGCGGAGCTGATTGCTTACCATCAGGTAAACCGTCAGCTCGTTTGCCGACCGATTACATAAAAAAAAATAAGCCAGTTTTTGTATTTCAAAATTTTCAAATTGAGGTGTGGAGAGCCCCCTTAAAACTCAATTAAATGTATTTAGGGCAGATTTTTCAATGGTAAGATAAAATTTATCTGGGGAATAATTATGATGCTGTCGCGTCGGAATATTTGTATAAGACAGTGACAGCAACAATTTTATTCCTCAGACAACATTTATCTGATATTGAAAAATCTGCCCTTAATGCTATTATTATCAAACAAAACCTGAGAATAAAACCACTCCAACTTTGACCAAATATTAACTATTTTTTATTCATGAAATCATTCAAAAACATACCTTGTGATTAGAATAAGTAGCTCTAAGAGACTCATAGAACTTCATATAAAATGGTTCGTTGAAGAAATGTCCCGCAAAGTTGGATTTCAAACTGGACGCGGGCGGTGGCGGCTTCTTGCGTAACGAGCCTTTTTCGTCCAACTCTGGTGGATTGCTGGTTCGACGGGGAATGGAATCTGAAAGAACATATGGCATTTTAGAGTAAAGAAAGTAGAGTTCCTTTCATTTTTTGTCAAGGAAAACAGGATTCTCATCCAGAACAATTTTTCCAGTCCCTGTGCCTTTTAGGGCTTAAGTCACTCTGTCTCCTGCATTAGGTATACCGAGGGGAGTGGAAACAATTTTTTTTTTGCTCGTCAAGTAATGTCTTATGATTTATTTCACTGCGCGATCCATGACAATCATTAATGTTTCTTCACTTTGTTTCCCTACACGGTAAGTGAATGGTGTCTAAATAATCATAGAAAGTCACATTGGTACTTGGCAGGTTTCAAACCCTGCATGAGAAGTGGACGCCTTAACCTCTGGACCACAATGACGTTTACCGCACGATCTCAATTAAAAATACAAACTAACCTTGAGTTTTCCTCCTGACTGGACTCCCAGGCAAAGCGATACCACCTTTATTCAAATGAACGTTAGGATTAACTTCCTCTATCAAGTGCACCAGAACATTCAACATTTTCAACGTCACTTGTAAAAACTTTTCGGCCAAGTTGGCAACCCTTTCGCATTCTAAGTGTTGCCATCTTTCCTTAGCGTTTTGTGTGTCACGTTCAAATATATCCCTGTTTGTTGTTTTATGGCGCATTATATTGTGAATTTCAACTGAAAAAAATATAATTCTCATTGGCATATTATGAAATAATGTAAGACATTTTTAAGATAGATTTTCTTTTATGACATAAAGGTTTTATTTCAGGATCTACATTTGATACAAATATTTATGCTTTGATATAATGTTTTTTTTATTTTCATGCCCGTATTATAAATTGATTCAAAAAATAAGTCATTTATATAATTTATTTTCTTATGAAATAATATAAATTGTTTTGCAATGTCGTGTGACCCAAGTATCCTATAGTTAAATTCGTTAGATCTAAGTATTGTAAAATTCATATTACAAAAAATATACGTTGGTTATATTTTTTCATGAGCAAAATGAGAGAAGGATTATATTTTTGATTCTCATACACCATTCATCATTAAACCGAGATTTTTTCTAATCACAAAAGCAAATAACTGGCCCAGGGGATAAAAGTAAAAAAAAAACTACCACAGAACTATAAAAAACAAAGACAAATATCTTACCAGGGTACACCAAAGAGCAGAGATCCATGAATATAGTCCTCGCCATCACAGTACCGTTACAATAATCGAGGTTGTCCAAACAATAACTGAGTAAACCTTGGTCGGAGTACGCGTCCATATGTTTCCATGGCGACCAACGCTTGCATATTGACTGGAGGGCTTCTAGAAGACCTTGCTAAAAATACACCATCATCATCATCAGACGTCTTTTGAGCTGAACAAAGCCCTCGTCTTAGTTCTCAAAGTTGAACGACGTATGGGATTAAATAAAATTTTATAGGGTTCGGATTTCGGACCCTTACAACCCAAATTCCCTGGACCTATCAAAAACTGTCAATAACCAAATTCCCTGGACCTATCGTCAAAAATTGAATAACTTACAAAAGTCATGCATGCAACGCCATTGTTAACTCCTTTAGCATTAGGAGTGTCCATGAACGGAGCAGATCGCTAACCATCAGGTGATCTTTCTAATCGTTTGCCGACCAATCGTCTACCCCTCCAATCTACCTTTTATCATTTATCTGAATATTATTTAATTGTAAACTGCTAAGCAAAGACCTCTTCTCACACTGAGAAAGAGAGAATATTTATCAAAACGCGGCTTGCTTTTCAAACTTATCAGGTTCCTGTCTTCCTTCGCCGTACCTATATTATAGTTCGATCCATAATTAGAGACAACGATTTGACATTTCGAGTGTTGCATGTTTTTTCCATTTCATAAATAGTGAAGGCCCGCGACCGGTATAAACCGAAAGACCGAAAAACATTTGTAAAACTTTTAACTATTAGCATTGATATGATATAATTGTTTTACAAGAAACTATGGTCAGCTTTGGCATTTCCTCACAGCAATTTCACAGATGGAATGTCAAACATAATTTAAGCCTAGAAATACGTTGGTATTGGTTTCTATAATTATAAAAATAATGTCTGTCAGTCAGATTGTAATATCGCTCCCACCCGATCTCTGATCTCTTCACATTGCTCCGAGTTTATTTATTTGTGATAATCTTCAAGTCGTTTCTTAGCATCATATATTAATAACTAGGTACAATTATACTATAAAAACATCCCCGCAACTTTTTTTTTTGTTTTGCTCAGGGTAATTTATAAAAAACGGTATCGGTATTTTAAAACAACGTACTCGGGTCCATCACTATGTTAAAAAATCTGGCCACATTATTTTGTAGTTTGACATTTGCAGTTGTCAAATTGTTGTCTCTAATTATGGAATGAACTATAGTGGTATCTCAACAATCTTAGAAAATATAACGCGACATAAGTCACTTTCGTTTTAGAAATCGTACCCTCATTTATGAGAAACGGTTGCTATAACTATCGTTCCAAAACAACAATAAATAAAATTAGCTCCAAAAACTACTTACCGTATAATATTTACAATGCGAAGCCATTAGATTCCCAATCAATTTTCCGACAACGGTCCTTAAACTGTTAATGTTTTTCATTTCTTCACCTTCCTTTAGTTGAGGTGGTAGGTCGCTGTAGAAGTATATATTTCGGACCAGATCTAGTGCTAGGCCGGCTTGGTCAAACGAGAACCATTCGCTTTGTTCCTTGGCTACGTAGGAGACCAGAGAAGTCGGGGTGACCCGTTTTGATGGCGTTATGGTCGGTATTATGCTGTAGAAAAAAAAACGGATTTAGAAAAACAATTTAAGACACAAAGTATATACTTATACTAATGGACCCTCCCCGAAAACCTCCACATATCCCAGCGAAATCGTTAGGGCCGTTTCCGATATCACATGCTTTTTCAAGCAATCAGCGCCATCTGCCAGGCTGATTCGGAATTCGAATCATTGAAATATTTCAAGCCCTTTTAGTTTTATATATTTTAATTAAGCATGAGTGACACATGAGCGAGACGACGTATGTGTGTGAGAGAGAGGAAGGATGAAGGGGGAAAAGCAAGATGGCGACAACTGTAAAACGAATAAGACGTCTCGGTGTAATTTAAATTTAATAAAGAAGCCAAAAAGAGTAAATCTGCGATATTTCACTGCCTCAGACCTACAAAATAGGTGGAGTTCAATGACATAAACACATACACTACCATACTCTCTCTGCATCACCCTAAGATTGACTGGTGAGAATGCCTACGGCATTAAGTCCGCCTATGTAATGTTTTGTTGCATAAAGTTTAAATAAATAAATACAGAAGAATTATATGTATAAAAATAAACATAATCATGGATTTTATTTAGACAGTAAAAAAAATTGCATGTAGCATATAAAACCCCCTGGCTCAGTTACGTATAATAGTAGGTAGCATACATCGAGCATACATCAACTCAATCGTTTGCGATATTGCGATGAATAATTTCGGATATTGAAAAACAAATATCGCTATCAGGGTACATGTATGTATAAGTCAGATATAGCGACGCGGTGCTACTATGCACCACAATTTCGTCTTTAGCCAACAGGGCGGAAAGGGGGAAGTCATCAAATGGATTCTTCAACCCACCAGAAGCGAGAGGGAGTATCAGACTCTTACTGACTCCACCGACCCATTCCTTCTCCTGCTCCGGGCAGAGAATGCATTGCATTATTTCCTTTGTAAAATTTGGAGATTATGGGCAACTGGCTGCCGCGCAACGTGACGCAGGTTCCGCACGGAACAACTCTTTGTGTGATCTACAAATTGTTATTCCGGGTCTGGGTGTCATGTGCATGTGAAATTGTATGTTTGCAACCGCACCCACGATACAGGACAAAATCCTAATGTAGGGCAAAGTTTTATTTAAATAAGTAAATAAATAAATAAAAATACAATATCTATCTACTTTTCTAACGAAAAAAAAAACGTTGTCTAGTTACTTACTTGGTTATAGCTTGAGCGGCCGCATTCCTCACTTTTTGGTCCTGATCACTGAGCAGACGGATTAATGTGTCCAAAATCAGTTTACTTCTTATGTAATACATAGGGTATAACATGTACAACCTATAAGGACATAGCACTTTAGAAAAAAGAATAAAAAATCAATTTAATACACTTTTGAAATCATCCCGAAAAAACAAGCATACCGAGTGATCTTAATTGGTTAGTTTCGTATGGCAAAAATAAATAGTATTTACTTTTCGATACAATTAAGTATTAAAATATTTATAATCATGCTTTCTTTAATTGATTTGAAGATTATATTTATTTCGTGAAATTTATGCGTAAAAATGCTAATATTAATTTAAATCAATGAATTAAGGTGGGGCAATGTTTTTTGCACTGAAGGTTTAAATTAAAACGTATCAAATTGTGCATTAAATTAGGTACAATTTTGAAAATTAACTCACTTCTGATACGGCAGCTTTTCATACAACTTGCACAAGTTGACTCTACATAACCAATAATTGTTAGTCTCTACGTTGACGAGGGCGTTCAGTACGTCAATAATTAGCGCCCAATGCGAACTATTACATAGAGCTGTAGATAGAGTCGTAAGAGATGATAGAGTATGGTTCACTGTTGAGTGAATTTCGTCTGAAAGACCCTGGAAAAATAAACAAAAAACCATTTTAAATGAGATTGTACGACAAACGCCCATCAAATGGGTCTGATCCGAAGGAAAGCCATCGTTGGCACCCTTGAACAAGAACTGCAAGAGAAGTTGCACGTGCACAGTCGTCTTTTTTAAGGTAATGGATTTGAGGATAAGGGGATAGGGGAGGAGTTGACCTTTAATCACATAGCGAGACAGAACGTAAGAATGAATGAATTGTTAATTAATTGTTATTTTGATTTTGCTTTTTTATTATATTATACCTTTATTGATATCGAATTGTACAAATAACTTATTTGAAGCCGTTTTCTTGTGCATGTGGTGTTAACCTTTAATTGATTGTTGCACTGATAATAATAATTAACTTACAATAAATGTATAAGTGTAAACAATTGTTGGTTAAACTAAACAAATAAAGTAAGAGACGTTTAAAACCCGGTCGAAACTGCCTATTCATGCCCTCACATTCATATATTATATAATATTTTTACAATATCTATAGGTATTCTAGCAATGGACTGTATTCCATTAGAGTAGAGTCTACTCTTGGCGGGCATGTTAGAGATTGCCTTTTAAAAGGTTCGGCGGTTTTTCCAATATTCCCTATGCTTTGCAGGCAGGTTAAAAACCCCTTTTTGAAGGGCACAGGTTTATCAGAGAGCACTACTTCCCGGTCTCTGTCAAAGGTATACAATCTTACAGTACTTACAGAAGGAGTAGTAGTAGTAGTAGACTTCAAACTAAAAAAAAAATTCTAATAGAACTCACCTTCAAAACAACGGTGATCAGTTTATCCACGGTGATAAATTCAGACACATCTTTTGGGAGAGTACTGTAACTCCTCCATCTAGTATAGTGCCCATGAGAGAGGTCCAACGCTGCCACCAAATAACTTCCAATACAGACCCTAACCAAACCACGAATTTGAGGGTCACTATGACCCTCCAAAAGCGTAAAAACATCACTCAAATGTTGAAACTCAAAATTCTCTGAAACCTCAACCATTTTCATGTCATCGCTAACATTTTGGTTGACGATTTCGACCGAATCCTTTTCTTGGATCTCGTCAGTCCGCTTAAGAGGGCGTTTGACCCTCTCCTCCTTTTTCTCGAGGTCTTTTAAAGCATCTAGATGGTCTAAGTTAGTTGTAGATTCGCCAAAATGATCGAACTTCATATCAAGGTCAATACTTGAGGATAAGACATCCCCACTACTAGACATTGGGTACCCAGTCGATAAGGGGTCATTACTCCCAGTCATATTTGAATTTGTGGTGAAATTACTATTCGTCATGTTAGGGTTGGTACTGTCCGTCGTTGCACTTGCAAGAAGGTCGTTTTTATGGTAGATTTTGCTGTCTAAAATGTTGCTCGGCACATCCTTGGAGCTCTTTAGTTCTGTGCTTTCAGATTTGCTGTCTTTTTTCGATATTTGTTGGGATTGTGTTGTCTGTTGGCTGTCTACGCTTCGGTTTAGGAAGTCTTGACTTAAGGATTCTGTGAGTGAATCTTGGTAGCACACGTTCCTTTCAAGTATGAAGTCGTTTATGTGGTCTTGGTTTGAATCTGTGCCTTCTGAAGATCCTGGAAGAAATTAGGTTTTATTTAATCATTTGATTGTTCATTTCGTCACTCTTTATTACTTTAGAATACAAAGGGAAGATACCAGGATATGGAATGTAAAAAACATATTGAGAGCACGAGTCAGATATTATTTATTTATTTAGGCTTTTATGTATACAAAAAATGAAAAAAGTTAGTACATAAGGAGGACTTAATGTCAACAGTCGCCAATATTACACACATTTTTTATTCGAAAAACGAATTTTAGGATTGGGTGAACGCTGCGTCATAGTTTCACGCGATATTTCAAATATACACATCATCATAGGAAGAACATTTGAAATGAACATAAAGTGTAAACTGAAGCTTCTGCCCAGACAGATTTGCCGAGTTCGATGCCGCTTGACGGCGAAAGGATACTTATTTAGTTTGAGATGATTTCGAACACATACACATTTAGGACATCCACGAACATTTTGAGACTCGTCTATCGGTCTGTCAGTCTACGATTTAAATAGAAATATCTCCACAAACATCCACATAATACTTTAATACTATGGAAAAAACAAACTTACCAGAAATATTATGACGTTTCGCGTCAGCGTCTTTATCTAAATACAACGTAATCGCTTGTGGGTACAACCGAAGGATCTCCGACAAGCAATTCAGTGCCGATGACTTTAAAGACACTCTTACTTGCCTGAAAATAAGGTTCAATTTGTCATTTGACATAAAATCATATTTTAAGGGACACTTTTGGATTATGGCGGGCCTTCTCTATATCTTCTATTAAGCGTGGGAGAGCCATCCTTCGAAAGAATGGGGCCGTCGAGAGACCAGAGTACAACGGCCTCACAAAAAATCGGCGTGAAACAACCACAGCGCCGTGTTTCGCTGTGTGAGGAGGTTATCGGAGGCCTAAGCCATCTTCCCTACCCTAATCCCTTCCTAATCACTAAAGCTCCGAAACCCTAATCTCCTATAAGATTGACAGAGCATTCGTATCTCCTATGTTGTTGCGGGTGTCCAATCCATAGATGGCGCTGATTGCTTACCATCAGGTTATCCGTCTGCTAAGAAAACCGGCGAGTAAGTAAGAAATACACTTACGTTGTATATCATCGTTGTTACCTTTTACAGGGAGATTACATAAATAAATAAAAAGTGACTTACCTATCAGGTATAACTCCACCCTTGTTCCCGGTTAGAAGAAACTTTGAGGTCAACAAACGAGCGCCGTATTTGAGTGGAATGTCATCGTCTTTCGCTGTACCTATATTTACCTGGTAAAACGAACAAAACACTTTTTAAAAATAAGCTTGTAAAGTCCTATTACTAAAACCTTCACACATTTTTTTTCAGAGTCAAGCGGTACAGTCTAACCTATAAGGTCGTGCAGACTCAAAGTGTGGTTCTGGAACCAATAGCAGAAGGAATGGGGAGTTTTTAGTAAGTAGTAGTGTTAATTAGTAAGAGTCTGACAATCCCTCTCACTTGGCCTTAGAGGAATAATTTGATGATTTTCCCCCACAAAAAAGACTTAAAGTGTACACAAAAAAAGAAGTAAATAGTATTTTTCCACAAACATGGTAAAGAGGATTTTTACAGGGGAGAAAATTGTATACACTTTCAGTCTAAAAATCACCTTATTCCTTCTTCTGTTTCGAATAACCCTGGCTGGAAACGTGATAAGAGCAGAAGTGTATCTTTACTTTAAGGTTTTTAAGTACACCTCTGCTTGACTCTTTTGTGGCTGTCTACATATCGACATATTTCCACTTATTTACTCACACATAGTTATGAATAACGTCAAATTATTGTTAAAGGCAACAACCGCGTGGAAAAGCCATGCTTTGATGCGAATTGGCTAGCTCGATAGTGAAATTACTAGTGAGCCTTGTTTTACAGAAAACCGGTAAAGTCAAAGTCAAAATCATTTATTCCAACTAAACCATAAATAGGTACTTTTGAAACGTTAAAATAGAAAAGTAGTCTGTCAGTCTGTTCGTCAGTAAAGGTAGGTGCTCATTCCAAATTGTAGATTCGAAAGGAGAACAACGAGCAAGAAACTCCATATAAATCAACCCCAGAAAGGCCGGCAACGCGCTCGTAACTCTTTGGGGTTGCGAGTGTTTATAGGCGGCGCCGATGGCTTACCATCACTTAAAATGTCTGCATGCTGACCTATCCCAAAAAAAAAACATTATTGATTCCCGAATTTAGCAGATCAGGAACCCAGCCAGACAATTGACAAAGGACAAAGCCAGCCAAAAATAATACAACGAAGCGATGCAAAAACAAAATATTAATGTCAAATGAGTAAGTAAGTGAATGAACGAATCGCAAAATGAATGAACGAAGGACAATTAAAATACAACAAAGCGGTGCAAAAACAAAATATTAATGTCAAACGAGTGAGTTAGTGAATGAAGGAATCGCAAAATAAATGAACGAAGGACAATTAAAATACAACAAAGCGGTGCAAAAACTAAATATTAATGTCAAACGAGTGAGTTAGTGAATGAAGGAAACGCAAAATGAATGAACGAAGGACAATCAAAATACAACAAAGCGGTGCAAAAACTAAATATTAATGTCAAATGAGTAAGTTAGTGAATGAAGGAATCGCAAAATGAATGAACGAAGGACAATTAAAATACAACAAAGCGGTGCAAAAACTAAATATTAATGTCAAATGAGTAAGTTAGTGAATGAAGGAATCGCAAAATGAATGAACGAAGGACAATTAAAATACAACAAAGCGGTGCAAAAACTAAATATTAATGTCAAACGAGTGAGTTAGTGAATGAAGGAATCGCAAAATGAATGAACGAAGGACAATTAAAATACAACAAAGCGGTGCAAAAACAAAATATCAATGTCAAACGAGTGAGTTAGTGAATGAAGGAATCGCAAAATGAATGAACGAAGGACAATTAAAATACAACAAAGCGGTGCAAAAACTAAATATTAATGTCAAACGAGTGAGTTAGTGAATGAAGGAATCGCAAAATACATGAACGAAGGACAATAATAATGCAACAAAGCGGTGCATAAACAAAATATTAATGTCAAATGTGTGAGTTAGTGAATAAATGAGAAGCAAATTGAACGAATGAAGAAAGAATGAATGATTAACTGAATGAATGAACAAGCGAATGAATGTTTAACCTTCATTGCTCCATCCAAAACAGTTGGTCCATGATCAATTTGATCACATTCCTTAGGTTCGGTCTCCTCAATTTCCTGGAGTTTATCAGTTAGGTCTTTCGAAAGCTGTTCAGAGTTAGGTAATTCCATTTCCTGGTCACTCGCTGGTGAATCAGGCGTCTGGAAGAAACCGTTGTGTGTAATGGACTTGTATACGTAATTGAGTTGATTGATTGCAATTTATTCAAAGGAATTCATTGCAACTTATTAAAACCTAAACATACTTAAAAATACCCTAACACCTTCATTTATTAATTGCGAGATATATCTAATACGCATATTTTTTTAATAATTCGAGAGAATAAATAATGAGAATATATGTATATGAACGCTTTATGATGTAAAAACACATTGAGGTCAGACAGAACGTGCTGTTTCACACAATATTCACTGAAAAATATTGTTTTTACAATGAATATTGTGTGTACACAGTAGAATATTTCGCGAAAAAAGTATTGAATTTGACCAATTAGTAACGACTAAATTATACCTTAAGTGTATGACTACGAGGTCCAAATTTTCATTATTGGTGTAACACAACCATTCGTGTAAAATAAAGATTCACGTGATACATTTAAATTTTTATTTATTTTATTTTAATACCTTTTTGCACAGTAGTTGTACAATGGTAGACTTAATGCCAAAGGCATTTCGTTCCAAGATTATTTTGTGTCTCGGTAGAGAAAAGTATTCATACAATCCACTTTTAAAAATATAACAAAGATAGATAATAAAGATATTCCTATCAGAAAACGAATGACCACCCTTCATTCGTTTACTGATAGGAATATCTCTCTTTTAAAAAAGATACAGAGAATTTTTTTTTTTGTGGTTAAATTATAATTTGATTAAAAAGTTATAAAACTCACCTGAATAGTCAAATCCTCGACACTTAGACTAGGAGTGTTAAACTGCAATAGACTCCCTAGTTGCAAAGCCCCAGAAAAAGATATCTCTAATGGATCCCTGATTTCCGATTGCGGACTTGGAGCGTACCGCGATGCTATTATACTCGACGTGCCTGAAATTTAATAAGGACATTAGTACAGATGCATAAGTAATATATTTTAGACATTTATGCAAAATTATAAAGTGCAAAATGGCATATATGTATTGTGTAAGGGCATTAGTACCGATCCATAAGTAAAATAGATTTAAGTAATTATTGCAAAACATCAAAGTGTTAAATCGCATTTGTGTATTATGTACGGGGATTAGTACAGATTCATAAGTAAAATAGACTTTAGACATTATTGAAAAACGATAAAGTTCAAAATGTATAACGAAATGCCCCTCCCTTGGCTGGTTACATGAATATGTGGAAGAGGGCAAGTCTATAACCAAATTACGACCTATACTTTAAAAATAGCTTAGAATAAGGATCCCAAAAAACATTCAATAACTCTTTGCCCACCCTGAGAAATGTTTGTCACAGTTGATGCTTTGTCAGTCTGAACTATTTTTTTAACCGTTATCCGTGTTTAGGATCTTGTCTATCGTCGTGGATGGGTTTGCAAACATACAAGCTCATACACACATAGCGTCCAGACCCGCAACAACAACCTATGTATCACCATGAAGTGCTGGAATAGAATCGGCAACCCATTTCACAACAGCCGATTACTAAGTAACAGCGGCAACCGGGCAGTTAATGAAATTCACACATATACATATAACAAAAACTTACTAATATTCCTCCTATGTCCTTTCTCACTATGTGTATTGTCCAAAGACACGTGCCTTGGATGTCTATCAAGTAAAGCCATCTTGTATTGTCCGGAAGCCAGAGACAATAAAACTGTGAAACACTCCATTACCGCGTTCTGTACATTATGCTCGTTCGTGTGTTCTATATAGTGGATGCAGATATAGTATAGCTGAAATAAATAATTAAAAATATTAAAAAAGAAAGAAAGATAAATCGTTAATTTTGCAACAAGCACACAAGTATAAAAAAAGGATCAACAAAATCCAAAAAGTAAAAAAATATTATGGTTTCTGTGGGATCCCTTTTATGTTCATAATGGTTTGTGTCCCAATTTAAATTGTCATTAATATTATACCATAACTGGTTATGTTACTTACAAATTATTTATTAAGTATAAATACTATATATCCTATGGTTCATAATAACTATTTATTATAAAGTTGTAATAATACTCTGTAAGATTATATTTTCCAAGTTCATACATAAAAAACTTGCTTCTGCAATCGGTTTCGCCCGCAGTATCTACCAGAGTAAAAAGTAATCTGTGTAATTCCAGACTATAATTTATTTCTGGGGAAAATCCGTCCGTTCAATATTTTTATGAGGAAGAGTTATAAACAACTTAAGTGCAGGAAAGCCAAGCTTCGGCACGAATGGGTCACCTCAACCGGAGTGATAGCACAGACTCACAGAAAAGCAGCATGAAACAACCACTGATTTGTGTTTCACCGTGTGAGTGAGGTTATCGGAGGCCCAGTCCCTCCCCCTGCAATTCCCAATCCTTAAAATATATCCTCAACCCTTATCCCTAAAAGGCCGGCAACGCAACTCTTTCGGTGTTGCATGTGTTCATGGGCGGCGCTGACAGCTTACCATCAGGTTATCTGTCTCCTCGTTCACCGAGCTATATCTATATAAAAAAATAACAAATACCTATCAATCTATTTATTCCATATTACAAACTAGAATACTACCTAGTACCTACCTCTAAATAATCTCGAACGCCGAACAAATCGCTTTCGGCAAACTTGGTAATATCGTTGATTTGGAAGATGGCTTTTATAACACAAAACCATCCCATCACCACACTGCTATCTGATGTCAGGGGCCATAGTTTTTCTAAAACAAAACACATGAACATTATTTTTAGATTCAAATTCCAAGTATCACCAGTTCACATGCATATTTTGACATGTACTACTTATGTTCTTTTGAAATCATCACAAAATTACGAACGACAGTGTATGCTAAATCTTTAAAACTAAGCAACGAATTTTGATTTCTTTTTTAATAGATGTAGTGATTGATTGATTGATTTGCACGGTTTATATGTATAATAACATCAATTCTATAGGAGAGAAATTTAGTTTCAGCAGCCGTGCAAACCCGGGGCGGGTCGATACTCGCTAGTAACTTATAAATTAACAAAAAAACGGTTCTGCATGTTTGACTTATGCAAGAAGTGGTTAATTCCAAAACGTATGTCACGTTTGCTGCAGTTTCACCTGCCGCTCGGGCCCTATTAATCGTAGGGTAATATTTACATTGTAGCTATCCATTATTGGAAGAATTTTGGAAATCGGACCAGCAGTTACATAGATTGCTCATTACATACAAACTTACAAATTACAAATTTTATAGCTGCGACCTTATCATTATCTTCATTAATATTCCTAAATATTCAAGTACTTCCGACACTTACCGAAAACCTTTGCCAGTATGTTAGTAAGTAACGGTTCTCTATGCGAACACAAGTGAGCGACACACGTAGCTATACCGCGTCTTACTGCAGGATCCGCCGTCTCCACGTGTGATAATAGTGCTTTTGATAATTCTGAAAACAAAAACAACCTTATTTATAGTTGTAGAAAATAAATAACATACTTTTAATCATAAACAATGAAACAGAAAAATATTTTTGCAAATTGGCCATAAAACGGCGCTTTTACACGTCAAATTATGTATTTGTAAAAAACTAGATGAAGCCGGCTATTTCTACGACTACTCTGAGAAGACATGCCGAAACAAACTCAGAGGTCAGTCTCTTTTCAAGTCCAGACAATGTAAATAATTAGGAAAGAACCACACCAGTTTCCATTCTGAAGAAAGGCACGCAAGTGTCAGTTTGCAACCATATTTCAGTGTATTTACTAGTAAGAACCCACAAACTTTACCCAAAAACTTCAGTTCATTTTGAACAAATAGGCAGATCTACAAAAGGCAGTGTGGGAGAGCCATGCTTCGGCACGAGCGGGGTGGCTCAACCAGAGTGATACCACGGCCTCACAGAAAACCGGCTACTACTGTTTCGCCGTGTGCGTGAGGTTACCGGAGGCCCAATACGTCCTCCCCCCCCCCCTTCCACAATCCTTAAATCCCCAACCCCTAGTAGACAACGCACTCTTAACTCTTCCATTGTTTTTTCCGGGCGCGGATTGCTTACTATCAGGTAACTGGTCTACTCATTTGATATCCTGTCACATAAAAAAACCTCTTTTAGTAAAATACAGACTTATGCACTATTATACATACAGCATTAAGTCTGTCTATGTACAAAAATTTGTGTGCATAAAGCATAATAATAAACACAGAACAGAAAATTAAGTAGAAGTGCCCCTACACTCTTTCAAAAGGAAAACCAGTGTCGCCAAAATCACACATTCGCAAATCAAATTGTCCATTACACACATAAAAAACAGCTATATAATTGGGTAAAAAGATGAAACGCAACTTTAGCAAATCATCTTTTAAATGTTGTTAAAAATTGAGTCTTATAACAATGAGCGAAAGTTGTTATCATTTCACATGTCACAATCAATAAAGGCGCCTATCGTGTAAAAAACTTAAATATAACAATTTACAAACGGGTTCAGCCACTCAACGCTAGATGGCGCTGTAACAAATTCATTCTATTCAAAACGCTAACTTCTTTGAAATAGATGTCATATTTGTATGCACTTGTACCAATAGACATTTACTATTTTGCTACTCAGATAGGGCAGGGTATACCAATATATCGATGTTTTTGTATTCGTGTGAGCAATATAATTTATCGACACGATATACCTACTAATGATCAGTAATGAAAAAAGTTCTAATAGAAAAAAAGAAAAATATTAACATATTTTTTGAAGATTTAATGTTTTTTGGAGATGGTCAAGTTATTATTAAAGATTTCGATTTTAACATATAAAAGCACTACGCGCTCCTACAAGTTTTATCTCCTTTCCATAAATAACGGAGACGAAAAAACAAAAAAAATGTTACAGTCGAATTGAGAGTCACTTTCCTTTTTGGAACTCTGATAAAAATCATGTACAACATCTATACTTATAATGAATCTGTAGAGGGGTCAATTCTGTACATTAAATATATTTTCAAAATAACTACCAGGGGGTGATTAGTGATCGATACTGATGCCAAAAATGCAATCAGTAAAAATTTTGTCTCTGTCTGTCTGTATGTTCTTTATAGAAACAAAAACTACTCGACGGATTTTAACAAAACTTGGTACAATTATTCTTTATACTCCTGGGCAGGTTATAGGATACTTTTCATCACGCTACAAATAATAGGAGCAGAGCAGTGAAGGAAAATGTTGGGAAAACGGGAGAAGTTACTCCCTTTTGTAAGTTTCAGTCGCGTGTGTAACCTTAATGGTTAAACTTACATAGAAATTATGTATGACGGAAATATTTTAAATAAAATTGTCTAAATAAAATGTTTTACAGCATATGTCTATCTTTTATGGTTAACTCACAATAACACGTGTAACTCCTGATAGCTTAGCAATTCGGATAATAAGACATAGCGCCGTCGCAAGTGAACACTGAATCATGGTATAAGAATTATTTTTGTGTAGCGGTTGCCGTGCTCGACACGATGCGGTATAAAATATAATATAATATAGGTTTTATCAAATATTTGTAACTCTTACCTATTAGTTAGATCCGTGCCTTTCTATCTATGGACGGACGGACTACGGAGACTTAGTAACTAATAGGGTATTTACCCATTGGAGATGTACCCATAAAAATGAGACGATAAATACCAAATTTTATGTATACTTAGATTTTGTTCTATTGCTATTTGCTGCTTTTTATCAACACAGCACGCGGGCGAAAACTAGTTATAAAATAAAAATGGTGATTAACCACCCGCACCTGCCACAGACGGATGCACGCTGTGTGTGGTTAAAACGTTGATGTGTATATGCAATCTTAGTTAAACATTTATGAATTATACACAAAAATTGTCAAAAATCAATTTTCTGAACGATGATGAAAAATTATCGATATGAACCTATTTTACGAATATGTCGCATCCCTAAATGAGTAGCGTCGAAACTACTAGAATGTATTGTATATAACGTCACATAACGAACAAGTAGATTTAAACTTAATTGTAATGAAAATAAGGCCCTTTATAGTTTGCATTGAAGTAATGAAATGTGATATTTACATTAAAATCAAATATATTTAAAATTAACAAAGGTTAATACTCAAAGATGATACGATACACCACCACAAGACTCATCTTTTTTTCTGCTTACTTTTTTGCAGTTGAAAACCGCACAACAAGGCATAATTTCTAATATATTTCGTGTTTCTTAGAGACAACCATGACAACCAATCATGACAACGGATCGAACGATTCTGACAACAAATGTGCCAAAATGTTGTATATCTAGTCATGATGTTGGTTAGCGCGCGATGTCTGAACGGCACTTCCACTGTATTTTCTATTCCGTGATAATAAATAAATAAATATACAATACCAAACTCACCAGAAATCTCTTCATCAGTTGTATATTCTGCTAAAGCAGTCAGTATCCTTGGAAGATTATTCTCCAAAGCCTCGACTATCAAGGGAACCTCGGTCGTTTGTCGCACTATCTGACTTAGTTTGGGAAACAACTTCTGTGCTTGGGTCCTGATCTTGCCGACACCGGGACGAAGCCAACATTCTCCGAGGCATATTCGAGACAGTGCTGCACGGATCCATCTGAAACAAATTGACATAATTATCTCCAAAATTTTGTTTGACTTTCAAATGTGCCTGTAATGGTCTAATTGGAATAAATGATTTTTGACTTTTCTTTTGACATATATTTGTTTGTTTAAGCGTGATTTTTCAATCCAAACTAATATTATGAATGCAAAAGTAATTCTGTCTGTCTGTCTTTTTTTCATGCCTAAACTACTGAACGGATTCCTTTGATATTTGGTACAGACATGGTTTGAAACTCGAGTAAGGACATAAGATAGTTTTTGAACCAGAAAAGTGCAGGAATTCACTATTCCACGCGAGTAAAGTCGCGGGCAAAAGCGAGTAGTAAAAGCTAGTAGTAGAGTTTAAGGGGGAATAATTATGATGCTATTGCATGAGAATGTTTGTATAAGACAGTGACAGCAACAATTTTATTCCTTCGATAACATATATCTGACTATTGAAAAGTCAAATCAAATCAATTTATTTGTGAACACAGGTAATACATAAGCATGTTAAAATATACATTAATAGCATCTCCATGTTCTACCAATAAAATTGGTGTACAAATAGTTTTTAAGTTGGGCAAGTAGCAAGCATTATTAATAAATTTTAATTAAATAAGTATAAAAAAATAATTATAGTATGTCAAACATATAATACAATACATAGAGAAGACATATTATTCTATATGTCTTCTCAATTAAAAATAATGTCAGTTTTCGTTTAAAAAGTCGAATATTATACTCGTTTTTTATACATTTAGGCAGTTTATTATAAATCAACCCTAAAATAAAAGAAATGCTGTGTGTTAGTCTCACTAAAACTCGCGAATGGCTGGATCGATTTGGCTAAGTTTAGTTTTGAAATATTATTGGAAGTTTAGGGAAGGTTAAAATGATCTAAAAGCATTTTGAGTCAGTATGGAGTTTGCATGGCCAGGTATTTTATATTATTTATTTATTTGTCAGAATAATGTTACTTTACATCTTAAATTGGAAAGGAGGATTTAAATACTTAAATTAGATAAATTTATAATTTTTTTTTAAAATCTTAAATGTAATTTAAAGTAAAATTTTAGGTTGACACACAAAACAAATGTTATCTAACAACAAGATATTCCTATTAGGATTCCAACAATCCTCTAGAAGGAGATTATTATTAATAGGATTCCAACAATACGAACAAGATATTATCAAAGTTTTGTTATTTATTAATAACCAATAGTGGCTTTTCTACAACACAAGAAGATATGTTAAAAATGCAATTTAAAATCCAATAGATTTATGTTATGCTAAGATCATTTAGTGGAAGTTAATCTATTGTGCAATGAGCAGCTATTAAAAAACAATCTTTTTTATTTGATTTTTCAATAAAATTGGTGTACAAATAGTTTTTAAGTTGGGCAAGTAGCAAGCATTATTAATAAATTTTAATTAAATAAGTATAAAAAAATAATTATAGTATGTCAAACATATAATACAATACATAGAGAAGACATATTATTCTATATGTCTTCTCAATTAAAAATAATGTCAGTTTTCGTTTAAAAAGTCGAATATTATACTCGTTTTTTATACATTTAGGCAGTTTATTATAAATCAACCCTAAAATAAAAGAAATGCTGTGTGTTAGTCTCACTAAAACTCGCGAATGGCTGGATCGATTTGGCTAAGTTTAGTTTTGAAATATTATTGGAAGTTTAGGGAAGGTTAAAATGATCTAAAAGCATTTTGAGTCAGTATGGAGTTTGCATGGCCAGGTATTTTATATTATTTATTTATTTGTCAGAATAATGTTACTTTACATCTTAAATTGGAAAGGAGGATTTAAATACTTAAATTAGATAAATTTATAAATTTTTTTTAAAATCTTAAATGTAATTTAAAGTAAAATTTTAGGTTGACACACAAAACAAATGTTATCTAACAACAAGATATTCCTATTAGGATTCCAACAATCCTCTAGAAGGAGATTATTATTAATAGGATTCCAACAAGACGAACAAGATATTATCAAAGTTTTGTTATTTATTAATAACCAATAGTGGCTTTTCTACAACACAAGAAGATATGTTAAAAATGCAATTTAAAATCCAATAGATTTATGTTATGCTAAGATCATTTAGTGGAAGTTAATCTATTGTGTAATGAGCAGCTATTAAAAAACAATCTTTTTTATTTGATTTTCAACCTTATAACATTGAAATAAGGTTCAAGATCTAATGTGACCAGTTGACCTTAGAAAAAAAAAGGTTTTTAAAAAAAACCTCTTTCTACAAACCTTGCATTCCTTGTACAATCAATCTGATTTTGTAAGACAATATTAGTTTTATGGGAATGAAAGGCAAATCCGCCTACTACAGCTCGGTTCAGTGCTTCATCACCTACAAGACGGACTTCTGCCTGTAAAACAATAAAAAAAGGTTTAATAATATTTAGAACTACCATAAGTTTTGATTGTAAACGAAAGTTCTAAATTTTTAAACCATAGACAGTGTAACAAAGCAACTGAGTGGCATCATATCATATCATGGGAAAGAAATAAATGTGAGAAAAATATTGATATTTCTGTAATTATTTAAAATATTTATTAATCACTATAGATAAGTACTAAATGATTATTCAAATTAAAATAATTATTACATCACCAGGCAGTATAATGGTACATTAATAAGCCATTAGTAAAGTCTATAACTAGCTCTGTAACTAAAAAATAAAATGCGTAATTAATAAAAAGTACACATTCATCGTAAATTTATTTGATACACTTCAGTAGTGTGGTAATAAGTTATTATATAGCATTGTTAAATAATCCTTCACGCTATTCGTTGGACTAAAAACCTTCAAGGTAACTTACGCTGTCGTTACTGGCTAGTAAAAGAAGCGTAGGGGCAGCTGAATGCAGCAAGTTTGCATAGTGTCGAGCGCAGTTTGAACGGCTCCCTAAAGCCCCCAAACAACGACCAAGTGTCCCAGCCGCTGCCTGCAACTCATGACTCCTACAACCAAACCACACAAGCATAAATCATACATTCCTAGCCAAAAACGGACAAATTATGCAAAAATACTCACTTCCCTGAATTCTCATTTGCTTTTAAGAATTCCAAAGCTTTCTCAGCCTTCTCCAACACGTTCATGGCTCCTATTTATCAGCCGTAGTTCTTAGTACATTCTTCGAACATAGTTACGGTGATTTATTGTTTTATAAACGAATTTCCGTCGCGAAAACCGCAAACAAAAATGAAGAATATCAATCGATAACCATTAACGTCGACAATTTGACAACTTGTCAGAGTCAGTTGTTGACATACCAATATGACGTAAAGTTTTAGTTCGGAAATCAATGAATTGTAATTTGTAAAGAATCTGCCGGATTGATAATGATTAAAGCTTAGCTACTACTGTAAAATACCATGATCTCTTAAAATAAGAAATAAAAAAGTTTTAATTGTTAAGTGAAGCGGAAATTATAAGCATTTTCAGACAAAGTACAATTATTGATTAAAATGCTAGCTTAATCTATTGATTTGCTGAACGACACTACTGATAGCCGATTGGTGATAAGTTTGTCAAAATACTTAGTATTTCAAGCTAACCAAAGTGTATTACGTTAAATGATGACATCAAACCAAGATATTAACGTTATGCTTGGACTAAAAACTGTATTATCGAAAATTGAAGCCGCTGTGGCCAGGCGCAGTGCGGTATGTATACTATTGCAATATAATACATTATTTAGACGCATTTTCGTATCATAATTTTTATTATCATTATCAACAATGTATAGGTATTTCAAGGCCATTAATGTTGTAAAATAATAAAATTACTTGTTTATTAACAGGATTTGCCACAGATTGCTCCACGACTAGTAGCTGTATCTAAAATAAAACCAGCTTCTTTGATCATTGAAGCATATGAGCATGGTCAAAGGGAATTCGGGGAGAACTACGTAAATGAATTAGCTGAAAAAGCCAGTGATCCCCTCGTTCTTGAGAAATGCAAGGACATAAAATGGCATTTCATTGGGCATTTACAAACAAACAAGATAAACAAATTACTTGGATCACCTAATCTTTATATGGTTGAGACGGTTCACTCGGAAAAGTTGGCTGATAACTTAAATAAGCAATGGCCTAAATTTAGGAAGAATGATGAAAAGCTACCAGTAATGGTGCAGATCAATACAAGTGCTGAAGAAGGTATGAACTCATATGTTATTCTATGCTTTTATCAGAAAGTATAAATTACTTATATTGCTTTTTTACGTCCATGTTGCCTCATATTTGGATGTCATCACCATGACATTTGATAGCCTACAACCCTACACTAATCTCACTATCAAAACAAATAAATCAATAACATTTTTGTAACCAATTCTAGATGGATCTAGAGATTGTATTTTAACTCTTTTGGAGTCTTTAACACATTCAGTGCCCTCGACGCACCTGTGCGTTCAATACATTAATGTATAGAACGCACAGGTGCGTCGAGGGCACACAGAGTAGCGTAAGGAAATGCACATACGCGTCGGGGGCACTGGATGTGTTAATATTTTTATCAATGTGAAATAATGATTTGCTTACAGCTAAAAATGGAATTGAGCCCTCAGAAACTACCAAAGTGGTGGAACATGTACTGAAAAATTGCCCAAACCTAGATTTCAAAGGATTGATGACCATTGGTCAATATGACTATGATGTGTCTCTTGGGCCAAACCCAGACTTCCTGACACTTGCAAAATGTCGACAAGAAGTTTGTGAAAACCTTAAACTCGATATTAACAATGTGGAACTGTCTATGGGGATGTCTACAGACTATGAACATGCGGTAAATTCTTTTTTATTGAAACTCGGCTTGTGTTCTCTGAGCACTTTAAAATATACAATTTTACATTTTCTACAACAATTTCCTTCATTGTGTTTTTATTTATTTTTTAGTAAACTCACATAGTTAGTTCCGTTTTATGCAATGTAGGCAGAAAAATAATCATGTCATCTATTTGAAGGCTCAGTGCTTTTTTATTTTTATTGTAATTTGTAAGTATAATGATGAACATAAGCCATGTTAATTCGTTCGTTTCTAGGTTCCACCATTAAGACAAATTAGCAATTACCTAAGTATTATTTATTTTATGTTTTCTTTTTACAGATTGAACTTGGAGCTACAACTGTTCGGGTTGGGTCTGTAATTTTTGGACCCAGACCACCAAAACCAAATTAGTTCAATTTAGATCAAAGTGAAAGAAAAACAACATGTTACCTCAAAAATAATTGTTTATGAATTTATCTTTATAGATTGTTGCATATTTATTGGGCTGTTATAATCAAAATTAGAATAAAAAAACGGGCTTCCATTTAACTGTACTTATGTTAAATATTATTTTATTTCATTACCTTTTCCCAGAAATACATGGGTAGCCAAATCCATATTAGTTATAGATATATGGCGTTAAAAAAATAAGCGTATGATATTTTTTAACGCCGATTGCTTATTATCTGGTGGTCATCATGATTGCCCATGGATATTAGCACCAGGGAAGTTACTTACCAGTGCTGTTTTTTTTAACACATCCAGTGCCACAGTGTAACACATCCAACCTTGCCCCACCTCAATATTTTCTGCTGTGTCGTGGGTGTGTTTACAAACATACAATTTCACATATACCCTGACATTCAGATCCGAATCAACAATTAGTGGATCACACAAACAATTGCTAAGTGCGGAAAACGAACCCACAACACGTTGCGCTGTGGTGCGGTCACTCAGCCACCGCGCCAACCGTGTACCTATCACCCCTTCTGGATTAGGAATTCAAGAATTGGGGATAGGCTATGGGAACAGAGAAAGTATTGAACCTCTGTAACCCATCTCATATGGCGAAACAGATCGCAAGCGTTTTGTACGCCGGTTTTTTATGAGGCCTTTGCTTCAGCACGAAGTGATCGACTCGAACGGAGTGACACCACGGCCTCACGGTAAGCAGGCGTGAAATAACCAAACCAATGCTCTTCTCAGTCTTCCCCATCCCTAAATCTCCAAAATCCTAGTCCTTAAAAGCCCGGCCCCTTCTTCTTTGTACTATGCTGGCGACGCACTCATAACTCCTCTAATATTGCGGGTACCCATCTGCGGTGCTGATTGCTTACCTTCAAAATCAAATTCTTTACTAGCATTCCATATTTTAAATGACAGACTTTACATACATTTTAGGGATCAGTTTCAATATGGACCCAACCAGTTAATCCGTCAGCTCGTTTGCCGTCCTATCTTAATAAATATTTGATATTTTACTGCTTTAGGTACCTACATGTTACATGCACCAATACCTTTTTTATTTGGCTGAGAAACAACCGGTCTCCCTGTTTCATTTCCGTCAGTTACAATCTGTCATTGCGCTTTTCCCGCAACCGTTAGGGATCGGACCTAGATGTCTGTAGTTGTCTGTGCACATGTAGCCTAAGCGCCCGATGCTTTATTAGGAGGTACTTTTACTTTGATTAGCATTCATCTGAGGATCTGAGGATAAATTTGGGTCCGTTATATTATAATTAGGTAATTTTCGGTTAGCTAAGTAGTACCTACTTACTGCTAACTACTCAGCTTCAGTCGTGAAGTAATTCGCGCTCTTATTATCTGAAAGGCATGTGCTAGAAAAAGCTGTTTCAGTACATGAAACAAAATAACGCTCTCTTTACATTTAAAAACTATGTTTGTATTTCTTCGAAAACCAATGATCGGTATAAAGTGAGTAGGTAGGCACAAGTTACGAGTTGCGAAAATCATCGTTCACAAAGAAAATGTACAAACTACAATGTGTACTATAATACTATCTCACATAGTCACGAAAGCATTTATAATTGACTACTCTCGCGCGGTTTCACCTGCTGCTCGGGTCTATTTAATCCTAGTATGATGTTTTATAACATATACACAGAGTACTTTTATACCTATAGCACACAGGAACATGTGGCTATCTATCAGTGAAAGAATTTTGGCAATCCGACCAGCGGTTCCAAATATTACCCTCTCTTTTTTAATATTAGTATAGATGAATATGAGTTATGTGACTTCTTAAGCCTGTAGTACTGATCTGCTCCGATTTTTTCTGGTGTTATCTGTAGACGCACAATAATTCCATGAAGAAACATTAATATAGTTTTCTAGAGGCTAATTCGTGTGCCAAAAGCCAAAATACCAAGTACCTAGAAATTATCAAGATTGCCAGTTAAGAAAAGTGTCAGTTTTTTAATCTGTGGCCCGATTGAGGTGGCTCGATTTTTATTGGCTGGTAACTGGCAAGTTGAGTAACTTTCCGAACGCAGTGGTTGACGCACGCACGAAAATCCGCAAAATTACACAAAAAAGTTAAGAAAGTATATTTTTTAAGTTTTATGTAAAAAACGCCACAAAACTAAATAATAAAATCATTTAACTAAAAAGAGTGTCCTAAAAATATCTGGTTGTGAAATATTAATTCGAAATAGATAGCCGTGTACAGTGTTTGAAGAAACTTTAAGTTTGTTTTTTGGTGTCAACAAGTTCACATCCTTTATTTGAAAGTTTATGAAACAAGGCCGTGTTAAAAAGGTAAGGATAACAACTCTGTATGTATATTAAGGAATATTAAGTGTGAATATGCAACCTTAGGTGTCTAAATGATAACAATTTTGATATACATCGTGATTTAGTAAGTCTACTATTTGTTAGCATATATCGTGGTAATTTGCGAGAAAGTGTTACTACTTACTAAGTAATTAGTCTCAGAGATACTGCGATTAACTTTGTTTCAATGAGCCTATGTTATAATAAACTATAATTGTTCGTGACACTGTATTGTTACACTAGTAGTTTTTTAGTTTACCTTTAAATCAACAGAAATGAGAGATCACTGTTTAAACAGTCAAAATCAGTTAAGCTCTTATTTACTGAGTTAGATATTTATTTTTAATATTTGTTTAACAGCACAAGTCACACATTATCATCAAAAAAAGTTGTATATTTGCATAAATGCTGGTTACATTTTTGGGGTGTTGTCTGAGTTTTAGAGATAAGTTTTTTAAAAACAAAACCTATTTAAAGCTAAGTTTATAGATAAGGTGCCCTTAGTTATCATAGCTCAGAGCAGGGTTTGGGATGGAGTGTTTTTTTTAATTTTTATGAGTCTAACACTACACCTAACATCTTGCCTCATCGTTTAAAAAAAATTATAAATGTAATAAAAACTTTTTTGTATTATAACACACACTAGGGCCAAAATCATGCATTACTGTTTATGAAAATAGTTTCTATATAGCATAGGCAGAAACTAGTTAAGTTATCTCAGCCTACATTTAGTGGAGTAAGTCGTTAAACATAATTTATAAATGAAAATTCAGTTTAAAAATCATGTTGATTATATTTACCTTTGTCATCAACTTAAAGTTGCAATATAGTGGCTACATAGTATAAAACAATGCTGCTTTCTCTGTCCCTATATACCCGTTCACTTAAATCTTTAAAACTATTCAACAATACATATTTTGATGTGTTTTTTTTAATAGATAGAATTATAGAAGATGAATGTATTAAATAGTAGAGACATTAAGTATCAGCATTGAACTCGTGCAAAGCTGGGACAGGTCGCTAGTTATTTATAAAAGAAAAAAATCTTATGCCAGATAAGCTTGGTCAAGCAATTTCAACAAATAATTTAGTAATGATCAATCAACCAATGACACAAATTAATATGAGGTTAGTGCGGGACCAATTATCACCAATTATTTAATTGTAAAAAAATATGTATAATACTTGAGTTGGTTTTGTTTATTGCTAGGTTTATGAATATGTACCGCAAACATGGCATGAAACTAATATTGAAATACATTGGTATTTTGTGAAAACATGTCAAACAAACTCTAAAAACATTTTAATTACTTTTTTTATGTGCTGGCTTGGTAAACAAGCAAACAAATAACCTGATGCAAACCTGCAACAAAGGAGTTACAAGTGTTTTGCCGACCTTTTGGGTATTAGGGATTTGGAGATTTTGGGATTGGGGGAGGGCAAGGATTGGGCATCTGGTAATTCACGCCAGTTTTCTTCGAGTCGGTCGAGTCGACCCATTCGTGCCTAAGCATGGCTCTCCCACACTTTGTTACTCAGTTATGAGCAATTCAAAGTAAAACTTAGTACCTACAACCTACTTAGTTAAAGTTTTAATGTTTTTATGCAAAGCATTTAATATGGGTGTGTATGTTCATCTAAGTGTAAGAATCTAAGAACAAACCACTTTCTACTTTCTAGCTTTGCAGCATAAATAAGCAAGGGCTGAATTCACAATTATTTTATGGTGATAATGTAACTCTTGTACTTCACATATTTTTTCCTTCATGGTTTAAGCAGTTCTTTACTTATGTATGTTTAATTGTCGACTATCTTAAGTTTTTAATCAATGCTCCGAACGATCGGAGTGGTGTACCACGGCCTTACAGAAAATCGGAGTGAAAAATCCATACCGTTATGTTTCGCCGAGTGAGTGAGGTTATCGGAGGCCCATTCCTTCCCCTTTCCATTCCTCCCCAATTCCTAAATATTCGAAATGTTTATTCCTAAAAGGCCTGCTATGCACTCGTAACTCCTCTGATATTGCGGTAATCAGGTAAGTAGGTAGTAGGTTTGCTGGTTTTCTGGACTATCACAAAAAAATGCAAATGTTACTAGAATAGTACTGTAATAAGTATAATTTATTAATTCTGCTAGGCCTCGACCACGACATATCTGTAAGATATCCACTTTAAAGTGTCAAATGACATTCAGAAGGTAATACAAGTCAGAAACAACAATTAATTAACAAATAGGTATGTGTATGTATAGTGGATTTCCTTGAGAGTATTTAGTTTTCCTTTCATTGTTTTGAATGCAGACAGCGTATAGATGTGTCAAGATCATACAGTCATGCATAGAATATGTAGAATACTTCTCTTGCTTTAGCAATTATGAAGATGAATGATTATATCTTTTGCCCTTTACCTTGATTGAGTTAATCAAGGCTACAATGCTACCCCATCATCAAAACTAGACTTATTTTTTTTATGGACAAGATAAAAATGGACAAAATATAAAGACAAGATATCATGTTCTTCTGAAAAACAAAATTCTTACTGTTCTTTCGTGAATTGATCGAATGCCGATGAAGGGTTTTAGTTAACCGTATGTGTATTGCAAAACTTGACGTCATTATTTAACATCAAAGAATTAAATAACTATCTTATCTTAGAAACAACCAAAATTAGGAAATTTGCCATTTGTGACTTAAACAACTTGGTGTGTCCAAAAACTTACCTAAAGTTTTTGGTTAACCACTTTCTTATATTCGTTCATTATATATCTGTTCTTACCTCCCGCCTTCAATCCTTCAATTCCCAATATTCTAAATCCCTAACCCACTCAGAGCTGGCAACGCACTTTCAAGTGCGTTGCTTTTTTGATGATTTGATGTCCTTGAAAAGTACCGAGTGCTTAAAATTAGGCCGTAGGCTCGTTTGCCAAAAATATCTATCTCAAAAAAACTGCATGAACTGTGTATGTGCCACATAGACGAGACGTTTAAATGTGCACATACAATTAAACAAGCTAATGAAACAGGTGCTGAGTTAGTTACATTTACCACGATTAAGCATATCTAATGAGAACACCTCAGTGACGAAATTATAATATGTACGAGACCAACAAGTTATCCGCGCGAGAGTTTCTTGTAGGCCTTTTAATGTTAGAAGAAAGATCCCCTTACGTAAGACCAAAATACCATCTACAACCTTAGCATAGAAAAAAAGACTAAAATGTCCACACACATGTCTCAAAAAATGTAATTTAAAACAACGCGAATTTAATGGTTGCGTTAGTTGAAACCGCGCAAACCATTACCATTGTTTACTATCAAGAATCCGTCACACTCAGCGCACAGGTTTTGTCCACAAACCGGGCTAATTTCTTTATCTTTTTTCCTATTTCGTAACTTAAACGTTAGTTAAACACCGGATTACGTATACGTCATTGTTAACGTTGTGAGTTGCTTTTTGTTTTTTTTTTCTCAGTGAAGAAAGTAATCGGTCAAGTAAATTAGTAAAAGCATGATAACTGAAGCTAGTACAGACCTACATTGTCCAAACATGTTGATAGAAATTTGCAGGAGTGCATACGTTTCAGTGACCGCTTTTTCTTATTTGAACCTACGTTCATTATAGTGATTAGTAAGTTTCAAGCTTTAACAAAAAAGGTAAACAAAATACAAAAGGCTTTACAAAGAAGGTAAGTGTAAACTAGCTACAATAAATAGGTTGGAAGATTCAATAAGTACCTATTTTAATTCTTATAATATCTTATTGCCATGTGGTGGTGCTGGAAATGACTTGAAAGAAAGGGCATTTTTGCCATCTGAGTTTTTAAATAAAACGTTGTCTACAATATTTTTAAACACCTCCATCGCCCTAGGAACTTAGAAAACTATTTCATTTGGATATCATCTTAAGATTATAGAGGAATATCGTGAGAAAATCACACGTCAATTATAAATTGCAGACATGCGCAGCCCAAGAACAAATGGGTTGCTCCATTTGGACACAGTTACTTAGATCAGAGATATTTTTAGCAAAAATCTGGATTTAAACAGTGACTCTTAACTGGCATTAAGAAATACTGAAACATATTGAGCCTAAAGCAAACCAAAACATAGCGAAATAGGGAATATTCGCCATATTACAAGAAGACTAAACAGTTATCTAAACCAAAAATATGAACTACTGATTATTTTAACTGGACGCACGCATATCCAAGCTGGTGAAACATATAATTAAACGTAACTACTGTAATTAATGATCTTAATAACCGTAAAAAGATATTTCATACGGATGCCTTGGAAGTGCCACTTTTTACGCTAACCATGGACATAAAAGAAATTATAGTAGTGCAAATACACCGAGCAATCATTTAGAAAATACAGCGACACTTTCGAATGACTCTCTGGTCCGCTCATTAAATGTTAAACGACGGATCACGATGTTTTCACTCAATTTCAATGAACGTGGATAAAATGCAATGAGGTAAATGCGGGTAAGTATTATTTAAGCGATTACTGGTTTAAGTTTCTGTGCAGGTTTATATTACTATCGTTCAATCGTTTTGGTATAAGTGTGTAAGTGACTAAGCTAAATTGCAATCGAGTGTAGATATGTTGCTATAATTAAAAGACAAGACGTATTATAAAATTCATAAGAAGACTAAATGAGTACAAGAACAAAAATTGGTTCCTAAAAAAGTAATAATATACAAAAAAGTGTAGAGAACGACGAACGTTTAGAAAAGATGAACCAGCGCGATGAAGGAAGCCGGCACCTTTTAAAAGAACAATATAAAATCCTAAGGTAAAGAGTTCTTGACATGACATAGTGTCAAGTCTTATTAATTCTTAAATCGTTTTTACATTCTGTTAGCTACCAAATAATATTACCACGGAGATACATTACCAAAGAAAGATTGTTTTGTACATTATGTCGATGACGACAAAAAACAACACATTATAAGAAAACTATACCTACAAATAAAGATGGAAT